TGGTGACAACACACATCAGTGGGGCTGCAAAATGTATCACACTTATTAGTTTGAGCACACTATTTCTGTCTATTCTTATAGCTGTTTTCCTTATTAAACAGAAAAATAGGTTTGTACACCAATCCAAGTTTATCTCTTTGACCGAACTAAGACTGACGTTAGCTTGATTGCCTTGTTAATTGTTTATCCCGGCGATCTCCCTCTCCCTTTAAGCTGTCCACTGAGCAGTGGCTCTCAGTTGTTCTTGGGAGGCAGCTACAGCAGTGTTACATCATGTTTCACAAACATGTCATTAATGTTAACAAAAGAAACAGGGAAGTAAGAGTTCCGGTAATATTTTTTAACCTCAGTAAGTGACTTGCCGCATGTTGGTTTGTTTATACAAGAGGTTATAGAGAAGATAGCCCTTTACAAGGGTTGCAGTGTCAATGGTACACCTAAAAATGGCTTCTGCTCTGACCAACCTGCTTTGTTGATTTCAATGTGAATGCCGGTTCTACTCTCATTTTATTTCTATTGGTTCTAACACTTAAAATTAAGGATCTAGTAAATGTTTACAGTACTAAATACCAAAATGTAATACCTACATTAGTAAAAATCAAACAGTTCAATCAAAAGCAATTAATTCTGTAAGAGGAAGTTACCCTACGGTAAGGCAGATATTGTATATAATAATTCTAACTATGATTTCATTAGTTCATAATCACCTGAAAATAAGAGTCATTGATTTTTTGTTACTTTAGAATAAGTTGTCTATATCTAGAGCGAGTGCGCCATGTTGTTCTACAGTAGCCCAGAATGGACAAAGCAGACACTGGCTCTAGATAAGGCGATTTGCATATTTCATATCTTGGAGTTCTCTTACACGCTTGGAACATGGGAGAAGTTTCATTTGGTTGCAATCTGCTGGATGCCACTAAATCCTACACACTAAAGTTTAAGCTTATGTTATTAAAACCAATGTTATGTGGTCATATAGGCTAATGTTATTGCCATTATATTTTATACTTTGAGGTATGTTGTGATCATTTTGCAAGAGTTTACATTTAATCAGTTGTTGACCACATTACCTCTGTGATTCATCAGCCTAAATGGGTCATATCAGCAAACTAATGTTAGGTTTTTCATTTGGCTCAGTTAGCGAGGTACCAGTTATACCTGGCAGATAGTGGGTGGAAATGTTTAGTTACAACGTGTTTGTGTGGTACAGCCCTTGTTAATTTAGTAATGCATAAATCTCCACTTAGTTAATGTTTTAATTAGGCCTGGGTTAAACTTAGAACAGCTGGTGCAATGGCTCCCGGAAGTAGCAAAGTTCTGCCAATGTAAAATATTGGTTTATAGTAAATGAAAAAAGAAAGTGGTATTTACTTGAAAGTAGGTGCCAGGAAGCTTATACTTCAGAGTCAGAGGACAGCTGAGAGGAAGGAAGCAAGACAGCATTTGGCATAGCAGCCAAAAAAACATCTGCCAAAAATTAGAAGCCCCTGAACAACAGCGGTGCTGCGTGCCAAGCTGGCTCTGGCATCATGCAGGGAGTCAGAGGCAGAAGAAGGCAAAGGATGGAGGGATCAAGGAGGATGGAAAAACAGAGAGAAGGAGAAAAAGAGAACATTTCAGAGAGGTAACAGCATGAGAAACAAAGTCAGAGAGAGTAAAGGGGAGTAAAAGAAAAGACTTAACGGTCTCTGATCAGCACTGATGAGCTGCGTGGTGCACAGGCGTCCCAGAGAGATGAAGAAAGACAAGAGGAGGAGGAGAAACAAAGAGGGAGCAAGGGAAATTAAAGAGAAGGAATTAGACATGAGGGCAAGGAGAGTGCTGGAGAGGATGTGTGAATGAAAATGGAAGCGAACGCGATCTGTGTTGGGAAAAGCGAATTAAGGCCGATGGTGGGTGAAATGGAAGTGGTGACAAAAGAGTGGGAAATGAAGATTGCTGTGTGGGAGAGAGGGAGAAAGACAGAAAGAAAAAGATGGTTATGGAGAGGAACAGCCATGAAGTGGCTGCCAATATCCTGATGGAATTTTCGTGTGTGCGTATTTTGGTTTTGGGGGATTTTTTGTGTGTGTGTGTGTGTGTGTGTGCAGGTGCTGGCTTTCCCTTTTACATGCATGAATGCTCATTTGCCTGTTTGGTTTGGCAGATAACAAAATTGGAACAAGATTTCCCTTTTTTTTTTTTTTTTTGTAATCGGACAACTTCTCTTTGTCAGCCGCCGCAGTGTGTGTCATCATTCTCTTTACATAGCACAATGAGACAGTTCAAAATGGTGATCTAAAAAAAATCAAAAAGACACTTAGCATTTAAATGAACAGACAAAGCAGAAAGATATTTTTACTCTCGACTGTAAACATGTGGCTTCACAATATTTCATGCCTCTAAGAATACGACCACTCCGCCAATTTCAAGTGACTGGTGTCTGCCTTACAAAGCAGAGAGAAGAGGCTCCGTTTTTCAGGTCTCTCTTACTACAACAGGTGTCCATATAAACACTGAAACAGGTTTTGCTGCTGTAATCATTCCTCTTATTCATACTGGCCATTACAAAATCCCATCCTAATGTACTTCCAGTTGAAGTAATGGGGGTTTAAATTATAGACTGTATAAAAAAAAAATGGATTTAGCGACCGTGACATCACCCATTTGTTTGTGAACTCCCGTTTTGAAGCCTGAAGTTTGGCATTTCGTCCACCTCTGTCTTAGATTTTTGGAGTCAGACATGACCATATTTGGACAAGAGGATGGAGCTGTGGAGTAGCAAAGTGTGGATCAAAATGAGAGCCTGAGAACGCTAGTGGCAGACAGCCACATCCTTATTTATGTGTAACTTTAAGCCTTAATAAAATGTAAACAGGTGAGTTATATTAAAATTCACCCCTGATACAGCTGAATGAACAGGGAATCCGCTATAGAGGCCAAAACTGTTTTTTTTGTACCAGGCTGTTAATATGTTTATTTCTGCTGTAAAGTTGGGCATTTAAACATTAGGGCTTATTGGCATGGACGTATAAAGAGAACTGAGTACTATGTTGGGGCCCATTCATTCCTCTGTAAGATGCTCAGTTGAACTTCCCAGATATAAAATTACCCAGATTTTCTGCATTGTTGGGCCCATGGAGCAGGCGCAATAGAGACTTCGCCAGTTTAGCAGCTATCTTCCGGTTTAGCCCCCCGCTATCTTGATAAGATGATGGAATAGAGATAAAATGATTTAATCGTGCAGCTTTTCTAGACTCTTGAAAAGTTATTAGACCAAATGGCTTAACTTCTAATAGTGGAACAAGTCATTTGGGGGGGTTGTGATGATTTGCTGATTTTCTCTTTCCTGATGTAAGTCTATGGGACAAGACTCACTTTTTGGAGCCAGCCTCAAGTGGCCATTAGAAGAACTGCAGTTTTTGATTCATCCATGTTGGCTTCATTGTTCAGCCCTGGAGGCTGCTGCTTGGTCTAAATTCACAGTAGGTGGTGCCAGCCTGATAAATGTCATTGAGTGAGTCTGTAAATGACTCAGTAGCCAATTTTATGAGGTGCTTTACATCTAAAAGGAGTAGTGCCAGGTTTCCAATGCTGTTACTGACAATTAATAACTTCATATCGCCATTGTCAGGTCTGCATCTCTAAAATATTCCCATTGGAAATATTCAGTGGCAACCAATAATTCTTCATAAAGGTGGCCAGATGGGGGGTGGTCAGGTGCAGTGTGAGAGTCATGGGCCCCCCTTTGTCCTCCCTTGAGGGCACTGCTGGAAATATTGGCCATTATGTTGAAAGTTTTATTACTTTGAGGTACTTTATTTACTTATTTTTGGCTTTGAAACACTTTGAAAGGGGTTGTGTTTCCTAAAGCACCTTAGTCACAATTCGAACTGGGGGTTATTAATTGCTCTATACAACTTAAAGACTTTTTCTGTGTTTACTTTAACGTCCACTTTAATTAAGTGCCCTTGCTTATTAACATTGTAATGGATTCTAATCAAGCTGAAACACTGTCATGGTATTTAAGTTTTTTAACACATGAAATCCAGCGCTGAATTAAGGCCATTTTCAAAGTACCTAAAGAGGCAGTCCTAAATTAACGTTTTGTTTTGTTTTTCCACAGAAAACTAATGACTTTAGATTAATGGTGTTACTTATCCATTAAGTCTTTGATTGCCAGGTACTTAAATGGCAAAATCTTACATCTTCCTCCCCTCATAGTCTTTCTTTGAACTCCATTTACAACCTCTGTGTGTTTAACTCCCCTTCTTTTTTCTGCTCCTTCCCTCTTTACATTCTACACATAACTTTAACTTTTTTATTCACCATCTATTTATTCTGGTTGCTCAGCCAGACAGGAGAGACGTGTTGTCATTTCTGCTGTCACTTTTGTTTATCCCTCCGAGCAGAACTCTGGGTGCTTTGGACATCTCCCTGTTGTCGTTGACGGACAGTGTAATCGAAAACTTGCCTGGAAAGACAGAGAAACTTAAGCACACTGTCTCTTCAGGTGTAATAAACTGTTTATGGCAAACAAACAGAGACAAGTAGTCTGAAAGAAGCAAATAAACTTGGTGGGAGTGAAAAGTTTAAAAGATGTTTGGACTCTCCCATACTTCTTGCCATCTTTTTGACATTTTTCATCCCTTCCTCCACTGCCATCTGTTTTTTTTTCTCCAGCTTGTTTTTGACATGTGGACAGCAATGCCTCTGCTCCTCTGACCACAGCTCACGCAGTCTGACTGCATCCTGTCAGTCTGACACATGGCTGTTACCTAAACACACACACACACACACACACACACACACACACACACACACACACACACACACAGGCACACAGGCGCACAGGCACCTGCTTATTTGCACATGAATGCTGGCGAGTGCATGCATACACACGTACATGGGCGCTCGGAAAGTAACCAAACATAAAGTCTGTTGTCACATCCAGTTTGTCTACAGAGGAGAAACTACACGTCCTAACCATACTTTCTGTCTCTCCTCCTCTTCTTCTCTAGATGTTACAGCCCCAGTTTAAGCCCCACAGCATCCAGCAGGTGTTGCTGAGGTTGTTCCAGGTACTTTATATTATTAATTCATCTTTCCATTACTCTGGTACTTTCAAATCAGCCAAGTCATTACCGCACACTCTTGGGCAAAGGCTGAGAGGAACAGATTGTCTTTATTAGACATTAGAGTTTATCAGTGACCCAGCTCATTCCTTTTTAATGGATCTGGAGTTTTGTTTTGGTTTTTTTAAAATTTTTTTTTTTCATTCTGACTCACAATGCAGCGCAGTGCTTTCACATAATGCCGTGTGTTCCGATATCTCAGCCTGGCTCTTCGAGGGCAGAAGGGGCCTCATGTATTTTTCATGAAAAGTTCAACCCAGTATTGAGAGCAGGATGTATTTTTACAATCAGGTCTGAGCTGCAGGTTAGGTTATTTTATGTCTCTTGCTGTTCCAGCGCTAGTGTCCCATTTCATTTCCTGTGCAGTTTGAATCCAGTCAGCTTGATTCAGTCACGGCTGTCTATCGCAGGTGATTCCCGGGAGGTCGCCATACGGCTCGTGGGATCCGGGACGCTGCCTGCGCTGTGCCGTGGTGGGGAACTCTGGAAACCTCCGCGGGGCCGGATATGGGGCGACCATTGATGGACACAACTACATCATGAGGTGGGAGGGATGGAGGCAATAGATATAGACCAAATAGAGGATGTGGGGCTGCATCAGATAGAGCAAGAGTGAAAGATCTGGAGATAGAGGACAAGACTGAAACTGAGAGATGAAGGGAGGGGGAGGGGGAGGAAGAGGGAGACAGCAACACGAATATGGTATGTTCCATTAAAATTACAGTATTCAATACTGTGTGTGCAGAAGGGAGAAGTGCAGACAGCAGATGTGTGTTTCTGATACTATATTTAATCTCACAGTTTAATGCCATCCTCTGTTCAACTCTCTTATTGGTTGGCAAAGAGGTCACCTGAGTCTTGTGAGGTCATTACAGAGACTTTATGTCCTGAGAAGCTGAAACATATAGATAGATTGTGCCTCTCGTGTAGACAGAGAGGCACATAAATCCATTTCCCCGGTCTCTTTCGTGTAGCAGTGATGGATCACAGTGCCTGATTGTTGTCAGTTGGCATGAACACACAGCTATATGTTGTCTCCTGCAACGTGTGTGTGTTGTGGCCACGTGCTTGTGGCATGAAAGCCTCTGCAGGAATGACTGGTATTTTTTGTTTCTGTGCGCTAAAAGCATTAACATCCATTAGCGTTGCACTCTCAGTAGACCTGTGTGGGCAGCCTCCAACTTCCGTCTCCTGTTACACTTTCTCATTGTTGAGGTTTGATTCTCATTTGTTTTTATAATCAGCTTGGCCCGCAGCAGTCCCACTCACCAGCACCACCCACCTCCTGTCTGTCTGCCTTTTACTCCTGCTATCTGAACAAACATCTGTTTTGTTGTCTGACATATGGGTAGGCGCACTCTGTGGCCTTTTTTTTCAGGTGCCCCTTCCTGTTTACATAAACAGTTCACTCCTCCAGACAGTGAGTCACATCTACTGTAAATACAGCAAGTACGCAGACAGAGCTGAGTGGTTCAGTTACTGTCTGACTGAAGGTTACACTGGACTAATGTGCTTATATTATTTAATAAAATGTGCTGCTGGAAAGTGCTCGTCATGAGACACTAAACAGTATTTGACTCAAATGACAAATGAAATGTGAACTAGTTTGCTGGTAGTGACAGAGTGAATCAGCACCCTACTCTGCAGTTCCCCTCCAATCCATGGAGCATCTGAGCATCTTTCAGCTCATTGTTTTGGTTTTACAGCTCATAACTTTACTGTTTTTGCTCACACTCACTGCTCTCATGAGCACTGTTCCCAGCAGATTTCAGTGGAATGGCTCTAAAACCCACTGTACACTACCTGCTCAGAGCCAAACAGCAGACAGACAAAGTTAGCGACCATCTGGTGAACGTAGTGGAGCACTGAGCAGCTAAAGAGCCAGATTTTTTTCTTAAGAAGTTAGACTAGATCATGATGCCAGAAAAAACAGAAGGGTTTTTTCGGCTATTAAAAGTCTCGGGCGCAACAATTCTCCCATTTTTTCTCCATACCAGCCTACGTGCAAAAATAAAACAACACTTCAAAGACGACACAGCGTAGTTTACCGGTAGCCTGCAGCTGCACTTTTAGAGTGGAAGAAGCACAGTTCTGACAGTTGTTAGCTTACCAACCTGTGGCAACAAGCCAAAAAAATTCCATCATTTGTATTTTTACCCTCCAACAACTTCATCCTCCATTCTGTAAATCCACCAGCAAATTGCCCGGTTCTCAGACTGTCCAGACAACTGCAGCATATCAGCCAGATTGTAACTGCAGTGTTCCTGGAGCTTCACTAGTTTCAATCACTCAAGTCTTCAAATGAATGCTAATGTCAATTAAAGAAGGCGATTATGTCACTTATGGTTTTACAGCGTATTGTGCTGTCCCCATGTGGCCAAATTCAGTTTGACACATTAAAATGAAACACATGATTCTTACATTTCTTAAATGTTGAACTACTCTTTTAAAAGCCCTAGAGGGCCTGTGTCCACAGAGTGTTTTTATTCAGCAGAAAAGTGATTGCGGAGCGCTGGGGAGCGCTTCATCCCAGCGCTTCATAAAAAAGCACTCCCAGCTTTCTTACAATGACGCGCTAGTGTCATTAATGTTAGCTAGGTAGCTAATGCAACGCAACATTAACAGAGGGTTGACTGCACAGATAACAACAAGCACACAACAGCACAGTGATCAAAGCACAACAACATCCTGGGTCCGCCAGCTAATTAGCTTCCAAGCTCATATGTTGCCAACTAACAAAGTGTGACCTGAAGATGTTCATCTCTTATGCTGTCCCTCCCTTGCTCCCAGGATAAACCTGGCCCCCACGGTGGGCTATGAAGAAGATGCCGGCAGCCACACCACTCACCACTTCATGTACCCGGAGAGCGCCAAGAACCTGGCAGCCAACGTCAGCTTCGTCCTGGTTCCGTTTAAAACGCTGGATCTTGTCTGGATCACGAGCGCTCTGTCCACGGGCCAGATTCGATTGTAAGAAGAAATACACACATACACACACAGATATTCATAAGCACGGATTAACACATATGGGAGTGCACACAAACATATAATTAATTTTGGACACATGGTGCACACAGCGTTGGGACACAAAAATGTTGGCATCCACTATTTGACTTTGACAGAAACATAAATACAGTTTGGGGGCGTAAATGCACACATTTTATGCACACACACACACACACACTCACACACAGTTGTGAGAAGCAGAGTCGCTGGGCTGGAACAATCTGTCAGCTGTCAATCATCCAGAATTCATAGCTGCAGCAATCACATGAAGTGCTGATTGAATGTGTTAATCAGTTTCTCTCTCTCTATCTCTCTGTCTGTCTCTTTCTCTCTCTCTGTCTCTGCCTCCCTCTCTCTCAGTACCTACGCTCCAGTGAAGCAGTTCCTCCGTGTAGATAAAGACAAGGTGTGTATTTTCAGCGTCCATTGCAATTTCTTTTGGCCATTCTCACACACTCCCAGTAATACACCAACACACACACACACACACACACACACAGCCACACATTAACGCACAGAGTGACCCCGCTTTGCTGCAATTATATCATCCCCTCCCCATTGCTGATGACGGGATTACAGTTAGATTATAAACCTTCCCTTTGTTTTAAATAATCTTCTGCTCGAGCCTTAATCCGTGAAAATAAATAAAGTCAAACTAATCCTCGCCATGTGAAGACTTTGTGAATATCTTTGCCCGGTCAGAGACACTGTGTCTTTGGGGCTGGCCCAAAAATATAGATTTAAAAGACTTACTCCTCCGCTGCGGAGCTCTAAGCAGCCAAAAGCCCTGTTTGTTGGGACTGAGCATCACCTGGAGGTAGATGATAAATTTGTAATTACTATTCATTTGGTTAACAGCGTTCTTAATCTTTCACAGCAATCACAACCTCAGGGAGTATTAAAATTTAACCTGGAACCTTGTTGGGTTGGACTTTGAAATGAGCAACGGCTATAATCTGCATGAGGTTATCTTCCTGCTTTACTCTATAAATTATCTGAGTGAACGCTTTAAATCTGAATGTAGGATATCTAGGAAGTTTGGAAAGACAAATACGCATTTTGTGGATCTTTCTGAATATTAGATTGTGAGAAAATCCTGAAAAAAAACATTTAGAGAAAAATACACTCTTCTTTTTCTGCCTTCCAGGCAGAAGTTTGGCTTAGTTAAATTTACAACAAGGAGATGATTCAGTATTTCTAGGGATGCACCAAGTGAGAAATGTTGGACCAATACTGATATTTAAAATAACAGTTTGGCCAATAATTGGTAGTGATGCTTTTGTTGTTGCTTATTTTGTTGTTGCTTTTATCTATTCTCCCTTTTGTGCGAGGGAAATAAAGAAATCTTTATTACAAAAAAATGTTTTTCTGTATTCACTGTGTTCCACCCCTTTTTTATATACTAGTATTGTATAATAAGTTTAGTTTTCATTTTTATGCCTCACAGTACTCCATGCAATACTTAAAAACTACAGTTCTCAGGAGGTGGAGCCTGTGCAAAATGTATGTTACACAACAGAAAAACATAGGCCACTGCCATTGGTGAATGTCATCTTATTTGCCAATACGCTGATGGCAGTCAACAAGGCAAGTATCGTCTGATACCAGTGTTTGGTAACTTGGTGCATCCCTCCAAAAAAACCTTCCCCTACTTTCCATACAGGAATTTGGGTTTGATCTTAGTCAAATTTACAGTAAGTAGACAGTTAAATACAGCATTTCCCTTTCTCTGCATCTCTGTCCATCCCTCAGGTCCAGATCTTCAACCCAGCATTCTTTAAATACATCCATGACCGCTGGACCAGACATCATGGGCGCTACCCCTCCACTGGCATGCTAGTGCTGTTCTTTGCGCTGCACGTCTGTGACGAGGTCAGATTCTTTCTTTTTCTCTCTCTGCTTTCAAATAACCACATACTGTAAATCCTTGCATCATGCTCAAACTCCACTTACATCATATTCATCCTGAATAGACCCACTTTTGTAACCACACACTTGCTTTTCAATGCTCTCTCTTTGACTCTCCTCTAGGTGAATGTGTTTGGGTTCGGAGCAGACAGCCGAGGAAATTGGCACCACTACTGGGAGCAAAACCGCTACTCTGGAGAGTTCAGGAAGACTGGCGTCCACGACGCCGACTATGAAGCCCAGATCATCCAACGGCTGGCCAAAGCTGGCAAGATAACTGTATTCCCTGGGAAATAACCAGCAAATCAGCCCATGTATCTAATGTTTCAACACTGCAGGCAACAGACACTATAGAGGCCGCTTAGAACGTGTTAGATATTCTCGCTTTCACTTACCCGCACCGGTTTAGGCTCCCAGTTTGAAGTAAATGCTTACAGGAAGTGAGACGCAATGGTCATGAAATGGTACCAAACAATCCTATTCCATTTACTTTCCTTCATATTCCAGAGGTTGCCCACCAGTGGAGGCTCTGATTGAAGAACATGGTGTGTAGACTCTTAGGAACCAGGAACAGAGAACATCCAAATGTTCTGCTCACTGTGGACTGATCTAAAAGTGTCGGTTGAGCCTTAAATTTGACAATAGACGTATTGTCTCTTAGTAGTTTTCAAGGTTTAACCTCTAATGGCCAGTGCAAGACCACATATTGCTTTTCCGGGGGCAGCTTCAACTTAGGGGTGATAAAGAAGAGAAGGCTGGACGGCAGGAAAACTTAACCAGTCACCACAAATACAAATGACCATGTGCAGCAGAGAGAGAGAGCCAGAGAGGGAGAGATTTCACATGCAAGCGTCCCACTTCTGGACTCACCTTGGATAAGTGTCCAATCCTCATCCATTAACAACATATACAGTATGCTGCACACTGAAAAGGCCACAGAAACAGCACCGTCAGCATCTGGTAGACTATTGTTCTACAGCTATGTGGTGTCTGAAAGTAACAGAGTGGGTATAAAAGTACAGTTCTTCACCCTCTAAGCACGAGGCACTTTTCTGTAGGCCTGCAGACTAGACTGACACAAACTGTGGAGCTGTCAAAAGCCACTGTGCTGTTGAACATTTGGAACCCTAGGCCATGACTTCCTTGAGAAAGAGTTGTTTTTCTTAAGTCCTTTATGAGGCCAAACCTCACTTTCCACTTTCCACTGTCACAGCCCCACTTTATGTGAGTTCTCCCTCACAAGACAGCATTACAAGGACCTTGTCTGACTGAGATGGCTTGTAAAACGGTTTGGTTGTAAGATGAAAGGTGATTGCTGTGAGTTTATATCGTTTGACTGTCCTCTAAACCCCTTGGGTCCCCACCAGGCTTAGCAAGGCCTCCACACCTTGCCGCAGACTCACAGAAACGCGATCAAGACTTTTGCCTTTCAGCCATTCTGTCGACTCAGAAAGATCACTGCAGCACGAGCATGAGCTTCAGCTTCTGTAGAGCCAACTAACCTGGTTTCAAACATTGTGGCGACCGGAGGCCAATCTTTCTTCACAGGGACACAGGGAGAAGTGTTGTGGGAGAGTGTTGGTTGGACTGTGTGTGACTCTAATGAGGCCAAAAGTCCGTCTCCTGGGGTTTCATGTGTGGATGGAGGCATGCTGGTTTTTGGACCGGAGTTTCATCCCCATGTGGTCTGTCAGGGTCTAATTTGGGAGACGAGGAGACAGAGAGCTAGGGCATGAGGAACCAGTCTGACAGCAGCAGCATGAGAAACATTTTGCTCCAGTATTTTTAAGGGTGAAAAGAAAAGATGTTGGTTTATGAACAGAAACTTGTGCTTCTATACAAACTGTACTGGGTTCACCGCTTTGGTTTTGAAAGGACTGAGACACAAAGGGACCGCGCTCTGTCTCTTTTCCCTTTCACAGACCTGACTCCTGTATCAGTGAGCAGTGGAGTTAGAGACTGTCAGTGACATTTCTATCAGATTAAGGCTCATGTAATGGGGTGAAAGAAAACCCCAACAAACCCCAACTGGATCTGGGAACTCTTTAACCCGTCAGCAGCTCGGCTTCATTAACCACTAGCCCTGGTCCCTGCTCAGCCAATTAAAACTTCAGCTATGTCTGGAGGGGGTGGAGCCACCAGACGCCTTAGACTCCATCTCTGTACTGCATAAACTGCACTTCCTGTTCTGATTTTAATGTTAATGGCATATCCCCCTGCAGACTGCAGCAGATCTCATTTGTTAGTTTTATGTACTGTTAAGCTTTGAGTTTACACTTTGGCTGGATTTATACTGTCGGCTCAGATTAGACTTCCACCCAGGTGGCACATTAATGGTTTTTATCATGATTTGGTATCCCCAAACAATGCCCATTTACACATTAATAGCCTCCATTGTAAGTTATTTCTATCTTTAACAAGGAGGCACAAACAAGTATCAATCGTGGATGTGCAGCCAGACAGTGTTGAAAAAACAGTCAGTGGAAAACAGACAATGTGTGCCACAGAGAGAAAGGAAAATAACAGTATTTGGTTTAACCTGAGGCTGTAAATCCATCCAAAGATGCCATGACAGAGGTGTTAATCAAGAAACAGCTGGTGGCTGATTAAGGAGAGTACTCAGGGTTCCTACGCAGGTCTGGTAAATTTGGAGAAGTGGTGACTGAATAAGTCTTTTAAGGTGTGATAAGTAATTTTTCCCCTTTACACCAAACACGTATGCATGACTTTGAATGCTTGTTGATTGGTATTAATGACCCAACAGCAACTTTATGTTAGGCTGAGAGCTCTGGCTTTTAAAACTCACTTCCCAGACTACACTCCATTTAGGAACAAATTAGTATTTATGTCAGTTACAGGGTACTAAGTATTTGTTGGAGCTCCAGGATACACACAATGTGTTTTGGTGAGTAAGAGTGAATGTAAACGGAAACTCCACAGAGAAAAAACTCCTTAGCTATTATTTATTAAGAGTTTAACAAATAAAATCTGTTTCATCAGGACTGTGTGGGTGGAGTCTGATCAGTTTGACATGGCCCGACTAGCAAACAACTAGGGCTGGGTACCAGTACTTGATACCTTTAAAGGAGCTATATGTAAAAAATCTAAAGCAAATAGTCGTAAAATCCTCCTAATATGTCACAGAGACTAAGGAATAATGTTCATATAACATACTGATCTCACCGACAACAATAGTACAGCCAGAATATTCGCATTTAAAAAATTTTTTTATCATGTTTATGTTTTGAATTTGTGTTTTGGCCTGTTGCGCCACCCACCGCCGTCTACCAGTCACGCAGTCAGTAGAGTCTCAGCATCAGTTAAAGTTATGGCTGAGCTACAGCAGCACGACAAGCAGCATTAGCAGTGTCCCGGTACGTAGCATTAGCAGTCTCCTCAGCTGTATCCCGGCAGCAGCATTAGCAACAGAGAAGCCGAAGTTGCTCGAACAGTCCGCTGGAAAACCGAAGATCAAGGACGTGGCGACGCGGCGAACAGATCAGTCTCCAGCGTGCCGCTGTCCAGCAACCTCGAATCTGGAGGGGAGGGGCGGCGGACACGTCTCGCGGCAGTATTTTGAATTTGAGTGCAGTAGCCGTTTTGGCCACATTCTTACATAGAGCACCTTTAAGGTATCAACAGAAATAATGCACTACCAAGTAATATCGAAATGTCTCCGGGTCAAACAATACCTGCTTTCATCCTTTTTGTGCCAGGGGTCTGAAACCAGACCATCCCGACTCCCTGCAGGAAAAAAATCACACACAAGACATAAAATACTTCTTTGTGGAGGATTTATTATCTTCAATTCATTGTTTCTTATCTGTGAAATAAAAGGAAATAAAATAAGTCAATTGTTTGAGCTTACAAAAACAAACAGGAGGTCTGCGTTGCTGTGGCGTGTAGTTACATTTCTGGGGAGGTGCATGTCAGGCTACAGTGTAGGTTACGGCATAGCCTCTATGTTGACACAGACCCCTACACCATAGGTACAACATTGATTCGAAGCAGAAGTATAAATCCCGCCCAACACAGCAGCAGCGCTAACATCCAACCCCGAGCCATTAAACAGATTAAAACTCACATTCACACCAAAATGGCATGACTCTGTCATTAAACCCATTATTAACTGTGATGCTAACAGTTAGCCCTGTCACTGTGTGTGAGCAGCTGGTAAACTTTTACCAACTGTCCCTGGAGAGAAGCTCACACTCCTACAGCAGCTACAACCCATACAGTCTGTGGTGTGGTGAAGGTGAGCACGATGATTCGTATGTAGATATAAATGGTTCATTCTAAGGTAATAAAAAATAACGATTCTTATTTTCAGGTGATTATAAACTAATGAAAACATAGTTATGAATATTATATTCCATTTCTACCATTAGATGCTCCACAATCCTAAACCCTGGACCTTTAATGCTCCTTTAAAACTTTAAGAAAGCTATGGTTACAGCTAAAAGTTTACCAGAACTTCACTGATATTTTTTTTCCTTTAGAAGGAGTCGTGTGTTGTGTCCGTGACTCATAATGTGCTATACAGTGAGCTAAAAAGAACTTATCTGCCACCTCCAGAAATGGTAAAAGAGATAGCTACATCTGTGAATAGAAGCTGTGTAGGAACCGTGAGTGCCAGCCGCTGCAGCAGATGCTACTGTCATGTGAAATATCACTTGTGTATGTGTGACAGCGTTGTTGAATGCACCTTTCTCAGTGTGTTGTTAAAAGTTAAGGGATTTAACCACAATCTTATGAAGCATTTCATTTTTTTTTACATGTAGTGCAACCAGCTGAGAAAGGTTTGAGGTAGGCACACACACACACACACACACACACACACACACACACTTAAAGTGAGAAGGGTCGGGGTGTCATACCACCCCCAGCAGGTGATGTGAAGAACTGTGCCTCCTGTGCTGATATCAGTTCTGTTGGTGTTTTACTGTGTTATCTTTGGACAATATTGTGTATCCACACGTGACTCTAATGTATTACTGTTGTTCTCTATATGCTTTCAATGTTTTTATCCTACTTTGCACATTACAGATTTTATAGGATGCTTTAGTGTTGAGCTGGGCTCACTTCAAGAGTCCGTGCGGCTGTATCTGGACATATTGTTTGTGTTTCTCTGTCACACACACACACACACACACACACACACATTCATGCTTTCGTGCCTTGTCCTGCTGCTGGACGTTTCTGGCCTACAGCTGCTCCATCAGCAAAACACACACCTGCTACCTTTGCTTTTTTTTCTTGCTTTTTTTTGGTCACACACACACTGTCATGTCTTTTGGCTGAGAGCTGTGCCTTCTGAGCTGCACACACACACACACACACACACACACACCTACATGAAGACACACTCTGCCTTCTGCTCGGGGTGCAGATGCCCCCCGCTCTTCACTCCTTACTGCTTTGTGCTCTGACATTGTTTTCTAAAGATGGCTGTAGGCTGTAAACAAGAGGATGTAAAGTGGTGATGCAGTGTGACTCGCTGTGAATCCATATTAGGGCATTTGCTACTTTTTTGAACATATAGCGTATACTTTCCACGCATATCTGCTTTTTTAGATAACATACAGTGAGGAATGGCAGGAGAGATGGCAGACATAGAGGGTAATCTGCTGGATTTGAGCCCACAAAGTTGCAGGTACACTGACTGTAGAACAGAAGATGACAAAGCGTATAAAGGTTTAGACATATCAGTGTACCGCTGCTTTCGCGGTTCGGCGTTTTTCTCGGAGTTGTCAGCTACTGTGGTCCTGCGTTATTGATGTTTGTTTCCCAAGATGCTCCTTCTAACTTCAAAAGGAATGTGTAAATTGTTTTGGAGGTAATGTGGCTCTCTGGCAGCAGAATAACACTTTGCTATCGCATTCTCGCAGCCCGCAGTGGGTAAGAAAAGTCTTAATAGTCTACTGTGCCCCCAAACAAGGTGAGACCCTGTTCCAGCACGGAAACAGTTATCAGCATCCTCAATTTCTCCCAGTTGTAAACCAGAACAGTGTGATCAGATAGTGGCGGAGGCAGGGTGATCCCTCTCTGCTGTGCTAGCCTGAATTAGAGTGGAGGTTTTACAGCACATGACACAGATCTGAGAGTGTTCCCTGTAGCATTTAAAAACCAAAATAGGTCTTTTCTCCTGTCGCCAACCCAATACACTGAATTTTTTTTTTTTTTTTTTTTTTTTTTTTGGTCCTCAGGAGTTGATTCTCAAAATAATTGAAAGACACACCACTTTTTCAGGCCGCTGTCTGTGCCATGGCTGTGTGAGGAACATCCATCTAGAAATAAAGAGCTGCATTTGGTGAGAGCATTTTGGGAAATGCGGTCCTTGATTGTGATGGTCAGATCAGATGTCCAGGAGCAGGATGTTTTCTCAGGTGAAATCTGAATGTGTGGTTAAGTCCTCTGATAACACTGACAGAAACAAATGACAGCCAACTTGCGTGTTGAGTTTCTGTCACAAATTAAACCGGACTGATTTTCTTTTTAGCATTGTGTTTATTTCTTGAAATTCCAGGCCAGACTCGCACAAATCATCCCCACACTAACATCATCCATCTTTGTTCTACTTTGCTGTCAGTGGAAATTCAGGTTCCTTTCACATCCAGGACTATTTTTACACCGTTTAGTCTCACACACTGTGTGCTGAGGCACATTTCAGTAAAAGCCACAAACACTCAATCACTGATTGCCTGAAAATGTGTTATTGAGCCTTGTATGATTGCACAAAGCAGAAAATCCAAACCACTAGAGTTTACCACAATTTCCATTTTCCTGGATAGAAACTCATTAAATTACATTTTTATGGGGTAATTAAACAGAATGAGTGCAGAAATGAACACAGTCTGATAGCACACCTGTTCAGCTCGGAAAAAGTGGACACTGATGTTTTTATGTCAGAGGGAGAATATCTGAACAGCATCTCAATGGGGTCACTCCTGTTTGCAGGGTCCTATGTTCCCCAGATTTATGGCACATTGTGGGAACATGACAAAGGGCTGTGTGTTTCCCTGGGTCATAATGTGAACCTGAAAAAGATGTTGCCCAGCTCTGCGTTTGCTTAATATGGCATGGGCCTAGGGTTGGGTTAGGGGACTATAATCATGACTCTGAGAATCATGGAATTGCTCTGGAGTCGGCTGGAAAGAGGTTGAGGGTCGGAAAGAGGTTGAGGGTCAGGTTAGATTATTTATGAAATATCTGAGGTCAAATTTGTAAGACAATAGGAGAGTTAATCTGTGTAAACAGAATATTGGACCTTAACATAAGACCTTGCGAACATAGGACTTTCGGAACATGGCACTCGGGGAACATTGGACATTCAGAACATTTGACTCTTGGAACATAGGACCTTGGGAACACAAGACCCTTGACATATAGATAGCCTCCCTACATGCATCTACAATTAAAGGAGTAATTACACGAGTGGGGTTATACCAACAAATTGTTTTTACAGTTCTGTTTTGTACAGAATAAACAATAAGATATAACTCGTGAAGTAGTGAGTTTAACGATCTAGTGTGTAGGATTTAGTGCCATCTAGCGGTGAGGTTGCAGATTGCAACCAACTGAAACTTCTCATGTGCCGAGCATGTAGGAGACAGTGGCCAATGTAGATGGCCCTATCAAGGGCCAGTGTTTGGTTTGTCCGTTCTGGGCTACTGTAGAAACAACATGGCGGACTCAATGTAAGAGTACCATCTCTGTGTATAAACAGCTCATTCCAAGGTGACGATAACGTGACGATTCTTAGTTTCAGGTGCTTATACACTAAAGAAAACATAGTTATGAATATTGTATTCCATTTCTGCCAATATCCCCCTAAATCCTACACACTGCACCTTTAAGAGGAGCCAGTAGGCTAATAGCATTGCAAATCTTTGCTAATAGTTACCTTTGGACAGACTAGGCGAGCTGTTTCCAGTATATGCTAACTGTGAGAGTGGTATCAAATAACTGTCTGAGGAAAACAAGCAATTTTCTTAAAATGTCAAAGTATGTTCTTGCTATGTTAAGGGCAAACTATGTTTTATTTTGTTTTCTAGCTGTAGTACTTACAGCTTGATTACTCGGACATGTTGATAAGAACCTACTGAACAAAAGTAAACAGAAAATCAGAAAATTGGATTAATTTGTGGTTGTCTGGCAGTGTCTCCAGCTGTAACAAAAGAGAATCGGTGCCAGACAAAAGGAAATCACAGCCCTCATGGCTGGAAAATTACTTTAATACCACTTAAGTCTCCTCAACCTGTGTCTATCCAGTTGCTATGGTTAAGGAGGCTGCAGCTTGGTGTCATTCTGTGGTAATGAAGAATAGATTTCTGCAGCAGGCACAGAAATGTAACTGAATGTTGGAGAGAAAGCTTCAAGGAACAAATGCATCCTGATCAAAACACTGTCGGCTCAGGCTGTTGGCATCGTGACATGGCCTGCGACTGTTTTCAGCGTGCAGCGGTGTTTGAGGCTGAGGTGAGGACAGCCTCAGGCAGCTCTTTACTCATCAGTTCACTGGTCTGCACTGAACAGAAGCAGCTCTTTAGCAGCAGTCACTGAGCTGCAGACTGCACATATCAGACTGTCGCTGTGGATTGTAACGCTAACTTTCACACCTCTGTCAGCTATTGAGCTAGTACTCTCAATCAAGTATGAACTATCAAGTAGGATTAAAGGCTGCTTAGTGAATAGATCTGCCACAACAGCAAACTTACTGGTGGCTCGTTTGAAACAGAAACTGTAGGAAAAGGAGTAGTCCAGAGATTTAGAGTTTGGATGGGTGAAATATTTTCATGTGGGTGGTTTTCTGCTGTCTGGATCTGTCATCATCATCTAGTCCTGCTTAAATGTCCCATTCTTCAGTCGCACTACCTTGCGGACAAGGTAGTACACGTGTATTTACTACATGGAAACATCTGTATGATATGTGATCCGACTCTTTGTATCTTATGCTATTGTACAAATAAAAGCTTCATGAAACATGAGATCAAAGTCTGATGTGTTGTTTGTAGAATTCTGGTTTGGTTCACACTGAGCCGCTGATAAGACTTGGGAAAGACTGCATAGAAAAGTATATAGATTGGATAAAACTAGCTTCAAGTGGGGATTTATGGTGGGTTGCTAAAGAGTGAGCTTCTTTACTTAAAGATATACTATGCAGGATTTTCCTTAGAAAACAATCTAAGTACTCAAACAGATAGATCTATCTGTCTATCTACAAATATATACAGCACTGAACAAAAATGTAAACACTTATTTTTGCCCCCATTTTTCACAGGTTTAAGTTGAAGATATCAGACTTTTCACTTGCACTCAGTAGATATATTTCACTCAAATTTTGGTCACAAATTCGTGTTAGTGAACACTTTTCTTTTGCCAAGATAATCCATCCACCTGACAGGTGTGACATATCAAGATGCTGATTAAACAGCATCATTACTACACAGGTGTGCCTTGGGATGCTCACAATAAAAGGCCACTCTAAAATAACTGATCACACGGCACAATGAGACAGATGTTGCAGGTTTTGAGGGAGTGTGTTACTGGCATGCTGTCTGCATGCATATCCACCAGAGCTGTTGCATGTGAATTGAAGGCTCATTCACTACCATAAGGCAGATTATGAGCCAGGGAAGACAACAAGTGTCCTTGTTAGTCTCAAGAGATGTTGTGTTTTAGGAATGTCAAGGCGGCACATATTTTGACTGTTGATGTGCATGTGTTATGGGGACTATAAAGATAGCAGGGCGAGAGGACTTGCTGGGCATTCACTGACTGACTGTTCATGCGGTTGTATGTTTGAGTGTTTCCATTCATGAATGCTTATTAAAACTCAAGAAAGACAGCCGACATGTGAAGACTTTTTCTTTAAACTGTTCATTAAATAGTAGTTTTGGCACCACATTGGTTAGAAAGACAAACTGCTGTCAGGTCAAGACCCTGGTGAGGACAATGAGCATACAGATGAGCTTCTCTGTCCAGGTGGCTGGTTTCAGATGATCATGCAGATGAAGATGCTGGATGTGTAAGTCCTAAGCTGGTGTGATTCAATGTGGTCTGCCACTATGAAGCCGTTTGGATGAACTGCCAAATTAACAGAAATGACTTCAGCGACATCCTATGGTAGTGCAATGAACATTCAGTTGAGGAGCAACAGCTCTGGTGGACATTCCTGCAGTCAGCATGCAAATGTCACACTCAATTGAACAAATTCGCAACCAAAATTTGACAGACATGTATTTATTGAGTGCATAAAAAGTCTTCGATCTTAAACCTGTGAAAAATGAAAGCAAAAACAAAAGTGTTGCTTTTAAATACTTGTTTAGTGTATATAGACATTCCCATTGCCCCTGAGGGCCAAAACATGTAACCATAGGGTGAGTTTAGTCTACCAATTCTGTTAATGTAGGGTGGCATGGTGGCGCAGTGGTTAGCACAGTTGCCTCAGGGGAGGGTTCTGGGTTCAAACCCACAGGCCTGGGCCGGTCTGTGTAGAGTTTGCATGTTCTCCCCATGACAGTGTGGGTTTCCTCTGGGTTCTCTAGCTTCCTCTCACAGGTTATGTTAACTGGAGACTCGAAATTGTCAGTAGGTGTATATGGTTGACTGTCTATGTGTCAGCCCTGTGATAGCCTGATGGCCTGTCCAGAGAGTGTACCGCCTCTCACCCAGTGTCAGCCAGAATAGGATCCAACCCCCCTCCCCATGACCCTGAACAGGATAAGCGGTGACAGCTAATGAAGGAACGAATGAGTATTTGAATGAAGTGCAAGACAACTCCATGCAGTTGGGAGCGGTGTTCTCTCCGATACAGAATAATAGAAAGGCATCCCTGACAAGAGAACACAAGGTCGAAAACATACACTGCTCTAATAAGTCTGCAGAGACTGGTATGTTTAGCTCAACCCTGAATAGAATAAGCTGAGCTTTCCATAAGTGCCGGCTACCTGCCAAACAGCCACCTACTCATTTAAATCCAGCCAGCTACTTCTCTCTTTAATTCAGTAGTGTTAATAATAGATGCTTTTAGAGCTCGCTAATGAATTTATACATCAATCATTTTTGTTCAGTGATCCACATCTAATGATCGTAGTCCAACCTTGCAGTGTTATTGATCAGATTTGAAGCCAGTACTTGAAATAAACTGAGTGTGTACCTTCCTCCTTGAAATTAATCACCTCTACAAATATATCCCACATATGAAAGGAACAAGGTAGACAGCGTGGCATTTAATAGTGGTATTTATTCCATTCCCATAACGTGACATTTCTCTGACATGGAACAGCTACAATGACAAAAGACTATTAAATGTCAGCAAAATGAAGTTACACAGATTAATTATTGGACATGTTCATGATGATTTTATACAGTTAATGAATTATTAATTTACTAAATTAAACCCATTTCTTCTTCTTCTTACATGTCAGATAATGGCTTGTTATTTTATAAGCAAGACTATGATACAGCTACTGTGTGTACAACTTAAGTCAAACCAATCACAGGAGAGGACTCAGGGTTTCGCTCACTCAGATGGACGGAGCCACTGTTCAGAGATCAGATCAAAGCCTTCAGCCAACTCAGGACAAACAGTGTATACTGCATCTAAATCATTTCAGAGCTGGGCTGACTTTTCACTTCTCTTTTAGAGGCTGAGCTTCAGTGTACAGGAAGTTTAAAGCAGCCTTGAACGAGCAGGAAAGACAAAGTGCTCTGGGGCTTGTATTTAAATAACCAGGGCCACACTGAGGAAAAACACAGAGGCAGGATGGAAGTTTATCAAAAGCTAACTGTAGAGTCCACACTAGGTGGAGTAAAGTACTTGTCGGAGGCTAAATCGATCAAAGTCAATCCCTTTTCCTTTGTCACAAGCATGCAACAATGAAGAGGACACTCTATAACAAAAGTCGCAAATCATCTGCTGCCCTCTTTCATTTAACTGACTGAGAGGATCTTCATATGAATTCAAGCAATTTCCATAGAGATGAATTTTTATTGGGGTAAGTCAGACATCGTAGTCCCAATACAAATATGAGGGGCTCAGTTACTGCTGGCTGAGTGTCAGTGTGGTCATCTGTCAACATAGTAAGCAAGAGGCCCGTGAATTTCCCATAGGGAGAAGAAGAGAGGAGGATGTTTGGGGGTTTCTAACTCAGTTAGACTCAGGACTCAACCATTACATTATTTCCATGATGCTACTCAACGTATGTTTGCAACCTCATCTCCTCCTCCTCTCTCCACCTCCCATGCACCCCCCTCTCTCCTCTTAGTTCTCTCCCAGTTTAAGCTGTGCAAAGTTGTTGGCCATCTGTAGCGCCTCCTGCAGGCACTGTGTGTTCTTGCCAGTGGCCTGGGCAGACATGTCCTTGCCGCCTCCTTTGCCGTCCAGCAGGGGGCATAGTTCCTGAACCCACTCGCTGGCTTTCAGACCGCGGTTTGCCACATCCTGAAGAAAAGAGGAGTGATCAGGGTTAAATCTATTAAAGATATGGAATGCTCCAAGCACAAGGCCTGTCATGATAATTATGTTATCAACTTAGTGTTCGATATATGGAAATGACCTCTGTCATTTTGCTGACCTTGATATTGCACATTGTGTTTACATACCTGTTTGTTTACACAAGAATGTCACCAATATTTTTAAGCCAACATGATGCCAGATTAAACGTCAGGGTTTTTACATTATAAGACGTGGGTGCAGTGAATCTCTTTTTTTTCCTCTCCACTGCTTGCGCAAGTTATAAGAAAGAAAAAAGCACTTCAACGACGACACAGCGTAGCTTAACAGTAGCCTAAACTGCACTTTTAGAGTGGCAGAGGCACAGTCTTGACAGTCATTTGCTTACCAGCCCCTGGTAACAAGCTAAAAAGTTGATTGAAAAGATTGTAGTTTTACCCTCCAACAACTTCATCCTGCACTCAATAAATCCACTGACTGGATTATAAAGGCGATTGCAGTGTTCCTGGAGCTTTGCTAAGCTCGTCTATTAGTCTTGGCTTTGTTTTTGTTGGCCAAATTTTGAATAAAGTTACAAACTATCCATCCGTGCATCAGTTTGTCTCATTCTTGTGATATCTCAAGAACACCTCGTGGGAATTTGTCACATTTGGCACAAATGTTTTCTTGGATTTAATGGCAAACTAGTTAGATTATTTAAGGTCAAAAGTCAAGGTCACTGTGACCTTGCGTCCATTTCATTCTTGTGAATGCCATATCTCAATAGGGCCTTGAGGGATTCTTCTTAAATTTGGCACATACGTCTGCTATGACCCAAGAATGACTTGATTAGAATTTATTGTTTGAAGGTCAACTTCACTGTGACATCAAAATGTTCTGCAAAAACACTTCTAACTATTATTTAACATCATTTCTCCAGAAGAGAAGAAATTTGGTGAGCTACTGAATTGATGTGTGTGATGCATCTATGTTTTCACAGACATGGATGTAAACTGTAACTGCAAATTAGAGGCATGCAACTGTAAGGCGGTAATTCTAGTTTATAACTAGAATGTAACTATAACTATTGAACATTTTTTTCATATTCCAATTGCAATGTCTGAATATTCTTAAGAATTAAAAGTGAACTGCTCTTTGAAAGGGTGTGTCTGCATTATTATGCGGGTATATCAGTGGCGTAAAATGGTCAAAAATGACAATAATATTGCTTATCATAATGATTTCTGGGACTATATATTGTCAGCCAAAAGTAATTATCATGACAGGCCTACCTAGTGTACAGTATGACTGAATGAATGGGTGTTACCTGTGGGACTTGACACAAGCAGGTGATCTTGCCAGCGTCAGGGTCTACGGTAAAGAGCATCGCAGCGGTCTGAGGAGACTGCGTTTTCAGCAACTTCAGTGACTCGTTCAGTGCCTGAGAGGGTAAGGAGAAATGTATAGAGGAAAAAAAAGTAAAAGAGGAGGAGGGTAAGAAAAGAATTAGGGAGAGAAGAACGAAAAAAAAGTCTCCTAAATCAGCACTATTGATGTCTCAAGGTCAGAACTAATGGGCCACAGAGCTGATTTGGTCCCGTGGCAATAACACAATGAGATAAGCTATGAGACTGCCTGAGAAAATGTGCAATACTGCAGAGATAAACTGGATTTTAATACTGTTTGCGCTTTTCATTTATTTTTGTAAGTGATGCAGATGAAGTTTTGGGGTTTGGATTAAAGATTGTATCTAGTGTGTGAATGTAGGGTCTTCTTTTACAAGGACATTTGGGCTGATATGTCAATTCACAGAACACTACAAATATCTAAATGGGTAGAAATGACATGGTATGAACAATTTCAGTCTGTTTCAGCCATTTAATTTCGGAGGTTGTTTAAAGCCTGTACTGATTCTCACCTTGGCTGAGGCTCCGACCTCCATCTCCATTATGAGCAGCTGCTGGTTGGGGTTGCTTTCGATCACCTCTTTGGTCTTTTCCAGGACTCTCTTCTGGATGTCAGCCTTGTAGTTGCGGTCCAAGTCGTCCATGGTCTTCTTCAGGCCCTTCAAGGATTCCCTCATCTCGTCCTTCCTCCACTGGGAGATCACTGCTGTGCCTATCAACTGCATAGAGTGGGGACGTGTTGATACCACAGCACAGAGTTGTTCTGTTGAGATGTTTTAAAGTCTTTGGAGCACAAAAAATGTACCTACCTCTGTCATGTCTGCGATCTCTTTCTGAATGTCCTTGTTGGGAGCAGTCTGCTGCTTCACCTTGTCTCCCAGTTCAGACAAAGACTGCTGAAGGGAATCGGCTTTCCTCTGGGCCTGATGAATGTGAGACACAGACGTGTGAGTGGTGGGCAGGAGTGAGACAAGGGCAAAGAGCAAAAAGTGCAGGGAGAGATGAGGAGGAAGGAAAAATGAGCACAGCAGTGGAAGCAAGAGAAAAAGGCAAAAAGATAAAGAGGAGGATCAAACAATCGTCTAAAAATAGTAAAGATTAATTTGTCCTCGGGGCCTGGAGAGAGAGGGGGGAAAATGCAAAATGCTCCTTTCTAGCTCCAAGTTCACCACAAGTCAAAAACAAGCTTCATTAAAGTTTCATCACTGGGATGTGTTTTCTCACCAGGGACCCAAATACTACATGTAGTCCCTCAGACTGAGACACATTTTCATTTAGTTAAGGTTTCCTATTGTGAGTGGCAAGAAAATCATTGTGACCATTTGATCATTATTATGCCACAACAAGCAATCATTTCAGACAGAGACATACACGGGAGGAATATTAAATCTTTAAATGTTGGCTAAACTCTTTTCTATATTAGTGTGGGTGGATGTGTTACATGAGCATAATGCTGGAAGCAAGTGCTCCAGTGTGTGTGTGTGTGTGTGTGTGTGTGTGTGTGTGTGTGTGTGTGTGTGTGTATGTGTGTGTCCTGACCTTCTGGGCCTCTGTTCCTGTCACAGCAACAATGCGGCGGATGCCCTTAGCGATGGCCTCCTCTGAGACGATGACAAACGGCGCGGCATGACCCGAGTTCTGCAGATGGCTGCAGATAACAGAAACCAACAGCACATTACCAACAGCGTTACACAACTGTGGGAGGCAGATGAGAAGGAGAGCGGCGAGGAGAAGGAGCAACACGGAGCGGGAGAGACAACATTACAGAACAACAGCAGTGGGAACAAGGGATTCTTTGAAGTGGGCTGCAGATTAGAACATCAAAGACAACATCAGGAAGCACAACAACAGTTTACTAAAATGGAATATTTTAAAACCTAAAGCAGCATTGGTGATTGTGGGGCATGCAATTAAAAAACAAGCCTGGTGCAACTGTCTCCTCTAGTGCTTAAATCGGGAACCGACTCTATACACACATAGAGCCATTTTAAACAGCTATGCACATAAAATGTAGCCTTGAAATGATTTTGGGCTCCGACAGTGATCAAATGAAATGTAAAGTCTTGCTATAATCTATGTAAGAGCGGGGATGTCTTGGCATTCAGGTGAATTTTACAGCCGGGAGCAGACACTGTAAAAGTCAGTGCAGCAAGTCTAATCGCTGGATTGAGCTCTACAAAATGTTCCAGGGCTCGTCTGCACAGGGACACGGCTGCCTCATCGTAAAGACCCACAAATCCAATTAATGGTTTCAACTTTACACACCGCCACTGGGCAGGTATGACACTTCTGAAAACTGTTGGCTTCATGCAGATGCAGACATTTATTCGGCGTCAACTCTACTTCTCTGAGTTGATGTGAGAGTGATATATGTTCCACTCAGAACATGCACCGTAATTACCAGCAACACAATAGATGTGACAGTGAACACAGACAACCAAAGCATGAGCTCATGTACACGGTGTCTCAAGAAATTAGACACTTAAATTTAATGCTTTTTAGAGACCTTTTCAAGGTCGTTCTAACCAAATTTTTCACAAACTCACATTTAAGCCTATTTCATGACTTTTAAAGGTATACTGCAGAGGACTGTCAGTTTCACATATTCGTCAGTGAAAGTGAAAGTAGAAGCCAACCCCCCAATTCCCTCTCATTTGGAATTTTGCCTAATTTTTTTTTTTTCGGTGCTGTATCTCTTGAATGCCTGCTGCTTGTGGTCTGGCAGCTGGTCACTACCTTTTTATATATCTTTGACCTCACCTGAGTGTTGTGGGGGTACACGCCTTTACACATCCCAAACACAGAAAATAAGAAAAAAAGAACAAAATCCAGGCAGAAAAAGTCTCTGCAGAAAATTACACCAGTGGGTCATAAGTGACGATTGAGATTGAGAATGTCCATTGGTGGATGTTCTATTTTCCTCAAACAAAGGTTAAAATGCAAACCAACTCCTTTTTCTGAAACAGCTGACATTTGTGATTAAAAATTCTACATTTTAAATTCAGCACACGCATTCTCCGCGAGTTTTGTTGCCAGCTATTTTTTTTCTTTCAGCACTAACATAGTGAATTTAAGAAGCCTGACGATATGTGCACCATGGCGGGCTGGTTTGCATGTCCTGTCACAAGTCATGAGAAATGCATGAGAAATAAAATAAAGTATCTTACTCACGTTCCACCACAAAACTCGATAGAGGTGAGAGAACCAGCAGTGCTGTCGGGACTCTCCAGCAGCTTCTCAACAGGGATACCAATAGACACGACTCGGACGGGGTCGGGGTAGGTCTCATCGAACACGGCACGCAGGCCTTGAATGGCCTTGGCTTGTGCTAGTGGGGCATCCAGGGCGTATACCGGCTGGAGAGAGCAAAGTGTGTGTGTGTGTGTGTGTGTGTGTGTGTGTGTGTGTGTGTGGGAGGGGGGGGGGGTTAATATTCATATTTATAATGGCAAAAACAAGCCATGTATAACTTTATTCAGGATCATAGGAGGGCACAAACCCTCAATCATCTCATTAGCAAGAGACATAAAGCATTTACTTTTCATACAAACCTTTCTTTCTGTTTAAGTTTCAGGGAGGAGCTGGAGTTAAACAGATGAGCTAGAATCATCACCTACATCTAAATCATTCCGAGTGTCTAAAAGACAACACTTCTTTGCCCTTTCAGTCAAAATAAACTACTATCAGGCGTGATTATTTCTTGCGTATTCCCTCACTGACCTTAGCTTCTTTTATCATGGCACAAGCGATCTCCTCAGTCCGGCGGACCTCCCCTGTGCTCAGCGCACCTTTAGCAGTAAAGTCAAAACGCAGGCGGTCAGGGGCCACCAGGGAGCCCCTCTGGTCTGCCTCCCCCAAAACCCCCCGCAAGGCAAAGTTCAAGATGTGTGTGGCAGTGTGGTTGCTCATGATGGGCCTACGACGAGCCTGGAATGAGAACATGAACAGACAAATAAGAGCTTTGGTCAGAGGAGTAAATCAGAGGCCAAAGTTATCAGATCCTGAAAAGTGTTAAACCTATTTTCATGCCATTTAAACTGTCTGATAATGAACAACATCACCTATGTATGTAACTTGCTTTCTACAGTAAAACAGACTTCGAATCCTCTGTATGTTCTCACCTCATCTACACGTAAAGTAACGCGGTCTCCAACCTTCAGAATGCCATAGACTGTCCCAATATGGAGAACGTAACCTCCTCGAACCTGAGTGTTCTTAACTGTAAACTCCATCCGCTGCAAAGAAAGAAAGACGGTGACAGAATGATATATTTGTTCTTCAGAAAACACTGAAAAAAGAATAGTTAGAAATCTGGCTGATGGACTGTGTGGGTGTTTTGTTGTAGCATTTTGAGATTAAATATTCATTTTTTTTTAACTCATGCTTCAAAGTTTTTGAAGTGTTTTAGAAAATGGTGTTGAATATAGAAGAGAACATATTTATCAAGGCAAAAAAGATTCCTTTGGCAAATTTCCACATCCTCAGCAAAAATAAGAATTCTCAGAAACTTCAATTAACGACTCAAGTTATATCCCTTCGCCAAGCAGTCACAATGCTGCTACAGTTTACAGTCATGTCTGTGAAAACACAGACACTTCACACACTTCTTTAAGTTGGCAGCAGATCTATACCATCAGCACAGCTTCAAGATGGACACCCAAGATTAGAGTCACAAATTCAGCATCTGACCAAATGTCACCCCTTCTATTCCTAAAATATGACGTTGAATAACAGACAGAAAAGTATTTTTGTAGAGCATTATCATGTCATAGTGAAGTTGACAGTTGACTTTTAGGATATATAATGTCATCACTTCATTATTTTATCCTATTCGAGATTAGTGTGAAAGTTATGGCCAAGTTATGTTGAGTTATGACCAAAAACATGTTCGGTGAGGTCACAATGACCTTGACCTTTGATCACCAAATTCAAATAATTTGTTCTTGAGTCCACTTAAGCACAAACGTCCAAATGTCTTCAACGTTTGTGCTAAATTTAATGAAATTCCCTCAAGGTGTTCTTGAGATATTGCATTCTCGAGAACAGGACACATGTACAGCCAACCTGAAGACATTATGACTCCAGCCACAGCTGTCACCAGCATGGAGCATAAAAATATCAAGACATAAAAAAAGAACCAAAGTACTAACAATGAATTCTTTTTGATGGCAGTCTTCTGCAAACTAATATGAATGTTTTTCATGCCATTCAGGTTCTCACTCATGAGACAGATGAGAACAGCTTATTATATTTCATCTATTCTCCTGTTAAAATTGGAATATTTCCAACCTTTGTCTAAGGTGGCCAAGACGTTTTGAACAAACTGCACATCCAAAACGCTTTGCAAAACCAAAACTGAAGTGAGCATCAACAGACGTTGACAATAAACAAGCCGATTATTACTGAACTAATATTATTCACATTTACCTAACGTTATGCTGCTATGAAGCTAACTATGCAGTAATGTTAGCATTATCTTATTTAGCTAGCCTTGGTAAATCAGAATGTGACCCAAGCTTTACCCATGTATTGAGACATAACAGTATTAAGGCTGCTACATGGTTTTTGCACTTACATCTTCAGTGCTGTCATCCTCTCGGACCATGTAACCCTCGTCGAATGTCTGTCCGCCCTGCTCGGCATAGAAGGTTGTCTGGTCCAGCAGCACACCACATTCCTGACCCGTGGTCACTTGGTCGCAGAAGGCGCGATCACAGCGCAGGGCCAACACTGTGGCTGAGGCCTGCTCAAACGCTGGACACGCCAACAGGGTGGGGGTCAGTGCATGAATGTCTTGATAATACAGTCGTTCAACTAAACTTAAGGTCTGTTTGTGAGAATGCAAATTCACTAACTGTAGTTGCCGTTTTCCTCAGAGGTGTATCTGTATTTGGGGTTGTCATCTGTGGCGGGTATCTTCTTGTTTCTCAGCTCTTCGATGGCGTAGATGTCCAACATGATGTGGTCCACATCTCCTGCACCCTTACCCTGGGACTTTAACTACAAACAGGCACAAACAAATATGTGTCGTTTAGTCTTAAACACAAAATCTACAACACTTAATCTGATGCTTAAACACACCACATGACCACAAACACCACAAGGTTCAGTGTGTACTTAGGAGAAAGATAGTTGATTGAATCTTATTTACAGGTCATCAAATACCGAACAACCAACCCAAAACGTGGGTATTTCATGACATAAGAATGAGACTCAACTATCTTTCTCCAGCATTACATACTGAACCTTTAAGAACTTTTTAATAACAGAAAAAAATGAAACATTCATTGAAAAAGTGGCACTTACAGTAGTACTGAAAGCAAATCACAGAGCCTGTGTGTTTTGTGTAAAAGTGTAAAGTGTGAAGATCACCAAGAAGCATTGTGATCCTATTGTTCAAACCACTTGCTGTCCTGGTCTGGGACGCATTTTGTCACAAATTTTTTGTTGTGTAAGCTCCAATGTGTCATGATGTGTCCCATGACCAGGACTACATCATCAATGCATGACGTGGTGGTTATTTTGGTGGCAGTGCGCTAACACACTATAACTTTTTTTTACAACGAGTTGTATTAAGTGTTGTGTGATCGTCCATCATTTTGCCAGACTGATTGGAGACGTGTTAATTCTGCTGACAGCTGTGTTGACAGAACCTCTGACATCACTAGCAGCTAGTGTGAGTGCAACAGCTAACGGGGCCCTCCGACCTTCTAACATAAGTGCCGTAGAAAGTAGAGCTCTGATTCTCTGCTCGAGCCCGACTGGTCCAGGCTGTACTTGCTCATTTTTTCCTGGGACTTATATTAGGTCAGGTTCTCGCCAATTTACCTTTTTTTTTTTGTTTGTTTTGTTTTGTTAAGTTATGAAACAGGCAGTTCTCACGCTTAAATGGCAGGCGTTTTAATGGACTTAATCAAGAGGGAAAGGGGGAGAAAGACAGGGGGGACTGCAACTGAGAGAGGGAAGGTGACCAAGCAGCAGACCAATATAGTGGAGAACCGGGTGAGAGAGATACAACGTGCGCAAGAGAGGGGTGGAAAACGAAAGAGAGAAAGTGGGTGGGTGGGGGCAATGGGGTTGGCAGTGTTTGGCCTCTGCCTCCCCTGCAGTGGTAGAGATGTGCATAACATGCAGAGTAGTGATAATCATCTTACGCGCTGCATTGCCACGGACACGGTGATATTTCAGCCTGGGTAATTAAAGGTTATGTATGTTTCTCCTCGCAAATCTAAACCTATCCAGTCAACAAAAAGTTTGCTGGCTTCCTTAAAATGTTTATTTACCCCATTAATCTGCTGTTTCATAAAGTGCATACGAGGCAATAATACTCCAGCCTACATACATTATAATAAAAATGTGTGTACTTTCATTTGTGTAATGATTCTTGAAAGAACGTTTATACTATGGAGTTACCTGTTTATTTTATTAGGTGCACCTGCACAATCTAATGTAACACAACACAACAGCCCAGGGACACATCCTGAAAGCTGTAAAGCTTGTTATGTTCAGTATGTGTTATTATTTTTTCATGTTCATACTCAAAACTGACCTTAGAGTTGAATCTGTGTCTCTCTGCGGATGTCAACAAACAAACAAACTTAACAAGCTTTACAAAGTTGGTTTTTATTGCAGAGCTATTGTGTTGTTGTGTTGTATTGCCTTATATTGTACAGTTCTACCCAATAAACTCAGTGTACATGGCAGGATAAGGAGGAAATATAAAAGCCACAGTGTGTTAAACTTCTCATTTGGCAGGGAGCTGAACTGCAGTGTCAGTATGTATACAGACTAATGTGTTGGACAGCAGTGTGACAGCAGTCTGAGGCTGCAGTAAACTAGAAAAGAGATCAATCTTTTTGCAAAATCAAACAACAAGGGATTAGCACAGGGCTGTAAAGTAAATGAGGGTTTATTTAAACAGCAGGTGCACCGCTCCTGATTCTGACTTACAGTGCAATACTGGAGAACGCTGACACAAGGCAAAATAGTTTACCCACGGGAGTGGACACAGAACACTGCTCAGTGGAGTTTCCCCTCAAAGAGCAGTCAAGGCCAAATTCAAACAATGAGCAAATATGAAATGGTTCCCTTCACTTCCCTCCTCCCCTCCTTCAGTCTCCTCACCTGTGCTGCCTTCTTCTCCTCTTCGAAGGCGGCAACGTCCACTACCATGCCCTTCTCCTCTGCGATGAGGGAGGTCAAGTCCAGAGGGAAGCCGTATGTGTCATACAACAGCCATGCTGTGTCACCTGGATGCACAGAAAGAGAGGGGGAAAAGCTGCTTAATTTGTGGGAGAGGATTAAGAAGTTAACACAATATTCCTACAAAAATTAATGCTGTCATCATTTTGATCAATCAGCAAGAAGTTAGATGAAAACAGCAAAAAGTTTCAAGTGTCTTTGCTGTTACTGTATTTCCAGCAATGCAAATGCAAGCACACTGTTAGACTTTTGGCTTTAGCATCAGTGGTGTGTCATTTTAGCTGAGTATACAAAGGATGCTGTCACCATTTGGGACAATGAAGAAATACATTTAAAAATCCTGAGGTAGACAACAATCCGGATTTACGGTGTGATTGATCTGTTATTAGGATTTTAGCTTTTCTAACTGTACTCCATTTCCTTAAGGCAATCTGAATATTTTTTAACACTGAATGAGACAGATTTGAGATAGCACGCATGATGGTCGGACAGAGAGATGAATGACGGAAGAGAGACCTATCTAACACATTCTGATTGGATTAAAAGCAAAAGCTGAGTGATGGAGAAAGGGAAGGAGTTACAGAGAAAAGACTGAAAAGAGAAAGTGACATGAGCAGTGAAGAGAGATGTGAGATAAAGAAAAGATAATAGTAAGAGGATGACTGAGGGAGAAAAGAGACACTGAACCTTTCACAATCATATCTATGTTACAGCAGATTTTTTAAAGCTGTTTCAACACGCAATATCTTAAAATAAACCAAAGCTATTTCCACTAAAATTTTCAGCATATGACATGTCACATATATACACAAAAGTGGTGACACTTGTTCTGCAATGCTCACCTGGAATGGTCTTGCTGTCTCCCAGACTCATGATCTTCCTATCAAGGATACGGCGTCCCCTGCTGAGGGTTTTGAGGAACTGCGCCTCCTCCTCATTTATAATGTCCTTCACCATCTCTGGGTCTTTCTTTAACTCTGGGAAGGCATTGCCCTGGAGAGTGGAAATGAGAGTGAAAGAAGACGGGGATCGAAGATGGGGTGAGAGAGGGATGGAGACGGACAAGCAGAGAGATGACAGAGAGAATGAAGAGAGGAGGTCACCATTGGTAGAATTAAACATGAACTGGATTTTAGAAGTTACTATTGTGTTCATCCTGATAGAAAGTTCTGATGTGCATCTTTTTGAAGAGAATAAAAACAACACAGGGCAACAGTATATGCCACACAGAAGTGGTACACATCATCTTACAGCAAAAGTGTAAGTTTTTCATTAATATGTTGTAAACATTGTGATTTGGTTAAGTGCCTATTCAAACTTTTAAAGTTTATAGTGTATATGGGCTAAGAACATAATGATGGAAGTATATGATGGCCATTCCCATGCTTAATTAGGTCTCATATGTTGTTGCAAAAAGTTTTGGGGTTGATACTATTTGTAACACAGATTTTGGTGCTTAATTTAAGTATTTTTGACTATAAGAATTGTTGTTATTATTGAATTATTGCTTGGCAATTGGATGATGAGCACTTCTGTTCTATAAACTGCTGAGAAACCCCCTTATTGTCAATATACCTGTGAAATCCATAATCCTCTGAATGCCTGAGGTTTCTGGTTTGTGGCTGCAAAGTTTCACGAGGCTGTCATTATTCTAGAGCTCACTAGAAGTCACACTTTAAACTGCTACAGTCTCTGAAAGATAGTAATGTCAGCTAAGGATGGCAGTGTGCTAGTGGAGTGGAAGAGGTTAAAAAGTCTGCTCCTTTCTTCCACTCAAGCTCATGTGTCGCATGAAGACCACTGACGCTAGAATAAAAACAAGTGAAGGAAGAAAATCTCACCAGGGAATCAACCACCACATCCACCAAAGTTGCAAAAAAGCCTTTCTGAGCTCCCAGCTTCTCATGTGAATAACGGACGGCGCGACGCAGGATCCTCCTCAACACGTAGCTAAACATGATGGAAACAACAAAACATTATAAGAAAGTATTAAAAATAAAGTGCGAAACATTGATAGCCACGCTGTCTGAAAACTTGTGTAGTTTTGCTGCAAAAGCATGTGTTGTGCTAACACACAACCTATGGTGTGTTTGTTATTCCTGAAATACTGTATTAAATGACCAAAGTACAGTTTTGGAAATACGAAGTATACCAAGGACTGGCACGCTATTTTGTCAAGCATGTATGACTTTTTTAAATTCTCAAACTCAAGTAAAACTGTGTTGCACACACAAATTACAGTATCCTGTGCCCCACTTCAGATGGTGTCTACGCCTGATGTATTTTTTTTAGATTTGTAATCTCTGCTCTGCAATGTTTATGTCTCACCCTCTTCCTGTGTTGTCAGGCCGGCCGCCATCTGATAGGGCGATGGTGATGGTGCGGGCGTGATCAGCCAGCACACGATAGGCCATGTCAATACCATCAGTGTCCTCGGCCCCTACTTTACCGGTGTATGGTCGAGCACCTGTACCCTGAAACAAACACAGATTAGGTTTAAACTGTGAATTACATCAGTGGTTCCTGAGCTTTCTTCTTATATACACCCACAGACCTTCATCAGCACCACCCATCATGTCAGTTTGGTCGAATTTGTCAAAACAACAAGCATGAAGAGGCAAGCACAACCACTCTGGAAACTAACTAAAACTAAACTGAAGTGATTTCAGTACCTTCTGAATGGCTTCAAAGTACGGGACAAAGAGGTCAGTGTCATAGTTTGACATCTTGTTCTGCAGAACGGACACCAGGCGCTCCAGGCCCATTCCTGTGTCGATGCTCTTCTTAGGCAGAGGCTTCAGCACAGTCTCTGACTCTCTAAACAGGGAAGAAACAATAGTTACAAACACTAGTTCACTGAGCAGTGAATGGGTTTGTTCTTTTGATGAGGCAGTCTCATAGTGGGACAGCACACAGGTGTTTCTTACTTTGTTCAGGAGGATCACACAGTTTGTTCAGTTCACTTTAAACTACTACTGCTACTGCTACTACTACTACTTGTCAACAACTGTAAATTTCTTTGGACAGCACAAACAACAGAAGGAGAGGGAGGGTGTGTACATTTGACTCTGTAGCTGCAGTAAATATTGTACAAAACAGATGACAACAAAAGGTGTGTCCACATTCCAATACTACCTAACCTTAATTCATTGTTTCATTCATTGCAGTTAAATGCTCTATATATAACCCACTGAACTGGTTACAAGCCTCGACTGAAACAGACAGAGTTAACCTCACAGCCATGATGTTGCAATGAACAAAGATTTAACATCTATCCCTCAAGGCATCACAACAAATGATGTTTTATTTACAAACAACTGTAGATAATATAGATGCCTATGTGTGAAAAACTGCATCAGTTAACAGAAAACCTGTCAAAACATGGACTGAAAAATGAATGAGCTGTTTCTTTAAATCCTGACGATGCATTATTTATCATTACAAACAAAGGTGCAAGCCTGTACAGCTTGTCTGCACTGCAACTGTGAGGTAAATATGCCGTCCCAGTTAAGAGTTTTGAACATACTCGCATGATTGTCTGAGTGTCAGTTTATAACCTATTGAACTGGATGAACACCAGGTTCCAGATCTCCAGGACGTTGGGATCATCCATGTTCACCAGGTGAGAGGCGTCCCTCCCTCCAATGCGGTCGAAGTGGATCTCACTGCAGGGACCGCAGGGGCCGGTGTCTCCCATCTCCCAGAAGTTATCCTTCATACTGCCTGGCAGGATACGAGCCTCATCCACCCTGAGAGAAACACAGAGAGTAATGATATAATTAAATTAATTCTGTTAACAGGTAAAAATGAGGTTGTGAGTAAAGTCAGTATGCAAAGTGTGAGAGCTTACTCCAATGAACAAAACATTTATTTTACATACTCCGCTCAGTGTTTAAGATAAGACATTTGAGTGACTGTCAAAACCAGTCTGAGGGCCAATATATTCCTTACAAAAACATCAGACAAAACTCAACATTTAGAAATCAGAAAAGGCAAAGCAATCCTGTGAAAACATCTTGGCAGGTTTATATTTTGTGGACTTTCCCCCTTTGTTGGAGCTGCTTTATCAGGACCAGCAGTGCGTTTTTATGTAAGCAGAGACACTGAGGCCAGTAACAAAGAAAAGCCAACAGAGAAAAAGAGAGAGGAAAGGATCATAGAAAGTCTGGTGCTAAGTGAGAAAAAAAGCAAACTGAATGCTTTGAATAAATAAATACATGGTAGATAAGTAGACTGGTAAAACACCAGGGGCAAAATGTTTCATGAGTTGGGACATAAAAAGAAGGTGAAATGTGGTTTGAGACAGGGAGGTGGAAAAATGGAGAGGGAGAGACAATCTTGTAGGCTGTTGTTGTAAGCAATGTGGTGGCTCTGTGGGACTGTGGGTGGAGAAGAAAGGCAGCTCCCCAGGGAACGTTCACACAACATTATGCAATTACAGGCGCAGATAAACCGTTTTGCAACATTCATACAGAGATACCACACAACATCTGTAAAAAGAGCTGTACATAATTTGTAGAGGAGGTATGAGAACTCCCAGGTGATACTGCAGGGGATAAAAAATCATCCACAGCAGACAGTGATAATTAAAAGTCGCCCTAAAGCAGATGCCTTCATCTGATGCATTAATCAATACATCTCATCCCAAGCTGGGCTTACCCTAAGTCGATCCAGATCTGTCTGCACTCCAGGTCCGGCTCCAGGCCTGCATCAGCGTGACCCCCGAAGTAGGTGACATACAGGCGGTCTATGGAAATACCAAACACCTCGGTCAGCAGCTCCAGGGCCATCTTACAGGCCAGTTGCTGCAGGGGGAGAGATGATGCAGAATGAGCAGAGGGAAGAATGAGACGAGACACAGAGGAGAAAAAGACAGAAGCACGAGAGAACGTAATTCCACAGTACTACAGAAAGCAGGCTAAAGTGCGGTAAAAAAATAAACTGATTCACATAGGTATCTAAAGTTGTTATTGTTTATGAGTCTAAATCAATTAACAAATTCCAGAAGTTAATTACTGCACATTAACAAAGTTAGTGTCTTGATTGTTCCTCCTCACTGAACCAGCCATGCTGAGTAATGGTTCCCAACCAGGGACCCCCAAGAGTGCTTAAGCGAGTTCAAGGCAGTCTCCACATTAATATGGAATTAGCTTTTACTACAGAAGTGAGCCCAGTGTGAGTAATAGTCATAAGAAAAACTATTCTGAACACAGGTTTCACTTCCTCGATTAGCATCTCCAAAATTGTAGTTGACAACAACAGAATTCTGATCTTAATCACATCTAACAATCAAAATCTTTTCAGATGGAGGTCCCTGAAGTGAAATCTATCAAATTAGGGTCCATGACCTAATGTATATCAATTCAGGGATCCTTGACACGAAACAGGTTGAGAACCAGCGTAATAAGCCATGCTGACAAAACATAAAACACACAAAGACACATATAGACAAAGACACACACAAAGACACACACACACACACACACACACACACCATGTGAGGTTGCTGACTATGACACTATAGTGGAGGAAAAATAAGATCAATCAAGCATTTCAGTGTGTGGATACATTTCAGATTTAATACTTTCCTAGGAGAAAGAAAGTATTACCTGGCAGGTTTTATGGCAGGGCTCAACCTTAACTTTTATAAGTAGTTGCTGGGCTGTCAACCAGCTGTCTGCTTTTGGTTGCCAAAACTGAAAATATGGTTGCCAGTTTGAGTCATCTTACATTTTGAATAATTAAGATGCTATGCAGTTACATGACAGCTTAATCATGAAAATGTGACATAAAAGACTGTTTAAAAGCTTTAATATAGTAACAACTAAATTTTTTTGAGTTTGTGTTTCATCTGATACTTTCTTCTCTGCTGGTTTTTCGTTCAAGTTTACCTGGTTCTTTATGGACTGAATCAATGTGCACATTCATTTGTGATGTTCACAGGTTAGTCAAACTTATTGCCTCACAGTCAAACAATGTAACTTGCTTCACTATTGTCTCTGAAACAAATGCCTGTAAACGCACGGTAAATGCACCAACAACGCACATGCAGTGTTGTCTGGTTTCAGTTCTGACTGTAACAGCAATATCTAAATATCACTAACGCAACAATGTTTAAAACATTTATTTCTTTTGGGGTGCATGATTTGCTGTCTGCTGTCCCTATCTGTTTCCTGTTAAAAGGCAAAGAAAATACAAAATAAGTAATGGGAATGATGACAGTGACAGCATTAGAGGAGCCAGCCTTTGGTGTCAGCTCTATTAGAGTCAATGGGGTGGGCACTTCAAATCACACTATGACCCATCATATCTTTGTTGTTTCAACTTTGACTGAGAACTCTTTCCACCGGATTTAAAAAACACACATTATGTGACTGACATTTTTTATCTAAATATGTGCGTTTGTTTTCCTTGTTACTGGTCTCCAAACAGATCATGTCTCTGTCCTGCAGAGGCTGAGTTGCAGCTGGTGGACAGAGCCACGATCTGTTTGGAGACCATCTGGTGGAAGGATTAAGTGGAAGTTAAAGCGACAAAGCTATGATGGGTTATAGTGTGACTTGCAGGGCCCAACCCGTTGACTCCAACAGAGCTGATACCAAAGTCTTACTCCTCAAACGCTGTCACTGTCTTCATGACTGTTCCTTCTTTTATATTTTCCTTGTTAAAAAGTGGTTGCCACTGATTGCAATCACAGGTCAGGAAATTATTGCCAGTTTCTTGAAAACTGCTGGCAACCTGTCAATTGTTACAGCTGAGTCCTGTAGGGCAGTAATGGTCAGGCTCTTACTGCTAGTATTGGATAAATAAATATTTTTAATGGATTTGTGACCCCAGAAGTCAAACGTGAATTGTAATATTTCCTAAAACAGGTTACACTCTGTATCAAGTAAGCAGAAAGAAGCTTTTAGCTAGCTGCATACCATGTTTGTACTCATAAAACCACATATCAGCCACAGCAAAAACACAAGATTATTGGGCTTTCTGCATCAATCATTTCACTCTGTATATAGCTTACTACGTTATCTTCATTTTAGAATAAAGGGCGCTGCAGCAGGCTGGTCAATATTAGCTTACTGCTGATATATCAGTTTAAGCGTACATGTTGGCCGATAAGTAGCGAAGAAATGCGGTGCAGAAATGCCAAACTTGGTTTGAGGTCATTCAGAAACAGAGAACACTGACAAGTAGGTTTTTAAATGTGAAATGTCCAGCTTAGTATATTGGTCACAATTTATAATAAATAAATAAAAACTACTCAAAAGGATCCACATCAAGATTATTGTTTATGTAATGTATTCATTTAAAAATAAATTACATATATCGTAAACATATATGTCAGTATGGGCCTAAAAAAATCCAGTATCAGTTATAATTGTACGGTGACAAAAAAGTAACACAAATGAAAAGTACGACAGCGTAATACCTTAAAGTAATCGCCAAAGGACCAGGACCCCAGCATCTCGAAGAAGGTGTGGTGGTAGACATCTTTCCCCACATCGTCCAGGTCGTTGTGTTTGCCTCCTGCACGGATACACTTCTGGGTGTTTGCGGCACGACGCAGCCTGGCCATAGGGTGGGACGGATCAATGGTGTTGAGGAAGATGGGCTTAAACTAGGAGGGAAGGGGTACAAAAAGCAATTTTATGAGTTATGTTCTTCTAAAAGTTTGCTACAAGAATCCCATCACTTCAGCACTGAATCAAAATGTTGTAAATCAGAGGGTACGTATCAGGGAGCCATCCTGAAGGAGAGAGGAACAGATATTTGGGAACAACATGGAGACACATGGATAGTGTACCTGATTCATGCCAGCATTGGCGAAAAGCAGTGTGGGGTCATCCAGTGGGATAGTGGCTGACGAGTGGACGTAATTGTGCTCGTAGCCACGGAAGAAGTCAATGAACTTCTCGCGGATTTGAGCTGCACTCAAAGAGGAGTCCATTCCGAATCAGCTGTCTAGAAAAAACACACAAACAAAAAAAGATTGTAGGCAGCACTCATGGGTAGCAACCATTTTTAATTCAGCTCCGTGTCCAATTAAATGATTCCACATTGGCAACATGGCGATAGGAAAACAGAAACTAGTCTTCACATGCTCCCACCAGCTGAGCCCAGCTACAGAGCGACAAAGGAAGAGACAAATAATTTGGTTTGATTAAACAGAACTCTTCAACTAATGAATTAATTTGTCAAAAAAAAAAAAAAGTTGCTACGTTTAAAATGTTTAAACTTCTTTTACTAAAAGCAAAAGTTGGGTCTTTTCCATGTTACTTGTGCATTTTCTTCTATAAGCCAGTTGAAGCAATGTCAGTTATAACAGTAAAAGGCAGGAGGCCTGCAGGCAGCAGTCGTCCCGACGGCTCTCACTGCACTTTAGCCCAAATCTGAGTCTGATCTAACATCCAGGTTGGATTGAGCCAGTGTAGTGCTTATGTTGCAGTTGTGTGTTGTCTGCAGAACACAGACTATAGAGGTCAAAGACTCAGTTGCCTTGTTTAACCAGTCATGCCTAACAGCTGATAATTGTGTGGTTCTGATCACATGTGGACAAACCTGGTTGATCTCTTTCACTGTGATACTGAAAACAATTAGTTGACTGTACCCTAAAAAAATGGCATGAACAGAAGCTGAGTCAGATGACAGCTGAATGTTACGAAATTCAACTGCTAGATGTCATCTGGAGAATACCGAAAAAGGTTGACAGCCACAATACAAAACTCCTAGACTCCAAACAATTATTCAGTTTTCAACTTGAGTCAGACAGTCGTAAAATTCCTTTGGTTTTAAGGCCATCACACCACTCACAACAAGTTAAACCAGCTAAGCCTTATCTGCAAGTCACCCTTTTGCTCCAAGCTATGCTTTGCTTCAACACATTTCTTTTACATGCAAAGCACAGGAAAAGCTATTGTTTGTTGCATTATCACTGATACATAAATTAGCATCTAAGAAGCTGGAAGGGATTTTGATCGAGGCCTACAGTGTGGCGGGAAATATGACCATAGTGTGAGCTGACAGAAATTTCCAACTGTTGTGGATTTTGCCATACTGTTTATACCACTATAGCTATTCCGTCAATATCTGTCATTGTGTTTGGTCATTGTGGGCGATGTTACCAATTAATGAGCAGGACCACTAAACACTACTGTATTTTTACATGACCTTTACATCCATGTTATAAAGAACCTTTATATATCAGGTATTGAGACATAAACAGACATCTCCATTAGTTATTTTCATTTTTATGTTAATGTTTCAGAAGATTGGTAATACTTTCTTAACCTCCCCCGACCCTAACCTGCTGCAGCCCGCCCCTGTGTGTCCTAACAAACCGTTGTAACAAAATGTTCTACTATGTCATTGCTCTGCAACGGTTTGGCCTGAGGCTCCTCTCATGAACGAACGACAACTCAGGAATCCAGTGCAGCAGGCAAATCTTTTCATGCTGCAGGAGACTGCTATAAAACTGAAAACAGATCTGGAACAAGCAGTTTGGGATCGGTATTTGTTAGAACATAGCATTGTTGTGTTGCTGGCTGCAGTAAGTCATCAGTGGGTCACTCAATTTATAGATCATTTCGCTTTTGACAGGTTCTTGGTGCTCACCATTGTTAAATTCAAAACGCATCCAAACAACAGTATCAAATGACAACCATCACTGCACTCATACAACACTGAGTGTAGTTTGCTCAGGTGGTGCGTCAGCAGTGTTTAACCCCTACAGCTGCTATAAAGCACCTTGGGGGCCTACAGGAGCAGCTGTGAAAGAAGGCAAGAAAGTTCTTGCCTGCTACTCAGAGATCTTGTCAATGGACAGAAACTGAATTGACAACAATTGTGGTAATAAGCAGTTCATAATTAAACTGATTTATCAGGCGTAATGCCACACATTGCTGGTTTCAGCTTCCAAAATGTGAGGATCTGCCGCTTTCCTGTTTATATAATTGAAAAATGTACACCTTTGACACACCCTTAATAAAACTACTCATATACATTTTGATGTTAATTTGTTTTGTCACAATTTGTAAAAACTGGTGTATTTCGGTGACTCAACTGATAACAAATTCCACTTTTTTGCCCCTCTTATTATTTCTGTTACATTCCAACACCTATTGAAAGTGTCTTGCACAGTGAAATGCCTCTCCCAAGGTTTCTTCCATTTTCCGTATGTGCTATAGTTTTGGGTGGGGTTTTTTCTCACATCATCCACCCAGAGAGCTGAGGCTGGATGAAATACTGCTGCTGATGTGATACTGGCCTGCACAAATGAAATTGATTACTTAAACCGTACTTGATGACAATTCAAACTATACTGCCATCTAGTCATTTCAATGCAAGTTTATGATAGAGCCTCCCAAATCTTTGCTTCCAAGTAAAAAAGATCAAGACCAGTGTGAAACAAAAAAGAAATCACACTAGGAAAACAAAAAAATGAACTGCATCGAGCAAAATTAAAGCTATAAAGGATTCAAGGATTTGAATTCAATTAAAAATCATCTTTGGTCTTATAATCATGCACCACAACTACAGTATCAATGATGTCTATAATTAAAAGGCAGCACAGTTGAATTCCCAACAGTGCAATAATTTGTAAACTAGCAGGCAAAGGAAACCACACAGCTGGTGTCTTCAGCTCTCTGGTGCCGGCATTCAGACATAAACAGCTACTATCCCCATCCTGACTACCAAACCACCCTGTTGGCAACCAGAGAAAGAGGTGACATTGGGGTGATGGGATGGAAAAAACTGCCTCTGCGAAGGACAGATGGTGTGTTGCAAAAATAGGGCTTAATGTGAGAAGAATGAGACTGCATAAAGGAAGAAGAAGAAAACAGGATACAAATGTGGATGCAATTAAGGATCAACTTTTTTAATCCTATTTGTAATCACTACACTGACCAAAAGCTCAGGTGGGAAACAATATCTTTATGACCACAAAGTCAAGCTCCAGGTTAGTCAGTGGAGCAACCCAGTTGTTTGTCTCCAAACCTTAGCTTCGCGATTTCTAGCATTGAGTTGGCCCAAAAATAGAGACTGCAATGTTTTACATCCGCAGGTGTGACATGAAGTCTCAGAGGGCTAATTTCCTTTTCACCTGCTGACTAACACCGGTTCTCCCATGTCACCTTTGCACCTCTGTTGTAAACAAGCGCACTGACAGAGGTGTCACACAACAGTAGCAGTCATGCCACACATCATGCCTCAGCAACAGCTTCTAAAAGTCGGAATGTAACATTATAAGATGTTGAGCTAATTGTAAACTGCTGTGTTGGACAGAGGCACTAGCTTAACAAGCTGACGTTAGCAAGCTAAGTGTTAGCTACAGAGGCTACCGCTATATGTTCAGCCTGAGAGAGAGATTTTAGCACAAATCTCTAACAGACACCCTACTTTACTGAATGGTACGGTACACAATATTTGTTTAACAGCTCCTGGGTAAAAAGTAATACTCACAGAAGTCGCTATTCCCGCAGAATGAATCGGTTACTGCACCCAGACACACTGCTTTAGCCCACGCTGCTCGACCAAAAAGGAAAGCACAGAGCCGGAGAACACGCCCACGGCAGATGCCCATTGGTCAAGTTGCACCGGTCCTCAGCAAATCTTAATTTCTATTGGACAAGCCTACTGTCAGTCTTAGCCGAGCCCGCCGCATCAATGGTACGAACTTCCCTGGTTTGGCTGATGCAATGGAAATGACACTGGTGACAGTAGCTTTTTAGATTTCTCCTCCGTTTGATAAAGACAGGTGTTAGGGCACATGTTCGTAAATAAAAAAAAAAAAAGTTAAAATATTTTGTCAATAATTATTTCTCGTCGTTTCTATGCATTAATTTGGGTGTTCAGGTTTCAGCCAAGTCACTACAAGGCGTACCAACTATTTTGTAATCATTTGTGATTCTGTGACATAATATTGGAACTCTACTGCTTATTATAACATCTACACACACTTGTTTAGATCGCTGATGTAATTTCCCTCACTGCCACGCAATAGCGGAACCATTTCTCTGCTTGCTGTGTTTCCGGGGGACAGGTTTGGAGCTGGACTTGTTCACACGCTTTGCTTGGTTGATTATTTTCACTGCACCATGCCGACCGACACCAAACGTGTACGCGGCCCAGAAGTCTCCCAAAGTCCGTATCTGTTTTTGTGCAAACCGGTGGCCGTCTTCCCCTCTCACGGCCCCAGAGCAGACGGTCGGCAGCGGGATCAGGTGGACGTGCGGCCCGTGTTTGTCCGTTGCGGGCTGGTGAGCCAGGCTAAAGGCTCCGCGTACATCGAGGCTGGAAACACCAAGTTAATGTGCTGCGTTTACGGTCCCAAAGAAATAGAGCGGAAAGATGAGACCGATATGAAATGTGGAAGGTATGTAGTGATTTTAGAAATGTGTTGATTTATTTTATGTGACTTGTTGAGGATCTACAACCAGTGGTGTAATGTAACGAAGCACCAATACTTCGTCCCAGTATTTTTGAGTGTCTGTACTTTACTTGAGTTTTATATTTCTGTCAACTTTTACTCTACTACATTTCCTAAATAAAATGTGTAACGTTACTTCTACCTTAATACATTTCCCCAAAGCATCTGAGTTACTTACAAAAAGGCAGGGAGGAAGGGACAGACGGACGGACGATTTAAAGAATGGGAGGGAAGAAAAAACAGGGGTTTTTTTAAAATATCATTTAAGTTTTGAAAAAGACCTCGTTCTTCTTTATGCTCCATCTTTAAGTTGGTGTACTCGTTATAAAGAAATAAACTTTTAACTTTATAATTTTCACAATTCTGACCCCTTGCTTAGTAATTATCTGCATCTACTTGTACTTTTACTTTCAATACATAGGTGCATCTAATATTATGAAATTACTTTTGATACCCAAGTAAACTAAATATTAGATACCTTAAGATTTTTACTCAAGAAGCATCCTCTCTGTAACTTCTACCAAAATCAGTTTCTAGTCAGAAATACGTACTTTTACTCAAGTGTGGCTGTCAGATACTCCATCCACCACTGTCTACAACACAGTAAACACACACATCAAAGTTAGACTTTGTAACTTACTCTTTGTGCGTGAATTCAGCAGTGCACACTTACGCTGCTACTCTTTATGACTAGTAACTTCTGTTGGCTGAATGTTATCTCATATTAAAATACTAAAGTGAGAACACGTAATTCCAACATTGTATAAAGATAAAAAACAGACTGATACATGAAATGTCAAAATAAAAACGGGATCTTGAATACCAAAGCAAACTTCTGGCTACATTATTTACAGGAGATATATTGCATGAACACACAGAGGCCCGGCCCTGCTGTTGTAACCATGAGGAGTATGGATCATTGTTATCTGAGAACACAAACACTTAATAACACGACCATTAGATATAAATGTTCACCAAGTGGCATCCCTTAGTGTTTGGCTTAAGAGGTATTATATCACTAATATGCTGTAAGGAGTATCATGGAGTGTTGTAAATAAGTGCTTCCCAACTGGGGGGTGCTGTTGCCAAAGTTTTGCAGGGGGGTCGTGAGGCCCTTTTGATTTTAACAGGTGTAAATCAACTTTAAATAAATACAGTAGGCCTTTATCTCAACATTTTATTTATTTCTGTAAAGGAAACTAAATGAAATTGAACCCAATTTGATTTTTTAAAACTTAGATTATTAAGATATAAACTGTAAAATAAAAGCTTCCAGGAAACAATATTCACAGAGCCTTTCTCTGCTAAACAGGCTGGTCCTGCATTGGAACAGAATGCAGTTAAAACAACCAAAGGCCTAATTAAACAGGGAAAACACTGAATTTGTCAAAGAAAAATAAGTTGGTTAAGCGTGTTTAAAAAAAAAAGTACATAATACATAGAAATGTATACTAAAAATAATGGGAAAACTCACCTCTGTTACAATATTCACATTTAATAAATGAAAAAGGCATCCCTTAAGGAAAAAGGTTGGGAACCACTGCTGTAAGTCAACAAAACATCACTAGTTACCACTATTACATTCTGTGGTGGATGAAGTATCTGAGAGCCACACTTGAGTAAGAGTACAGATTTCTGACTAGAAAAGGACTTTGGTAGAAGTTAAAGTAACCTGTTATAATATTACTTGAGTAAAAGTCTTAAAAGTATCTGATATTTACTGTACTTAAGATTCAAAAGTAATTTTATTATATTAAATGTAATCAATGTATTGAAAGAAAAAGTAAATAGTAAATAAAAAGTAAATGCTGTTATAAAAAAAGCAAGCAGTCAGAACTCTGAGGATCATGACATTTATTTCTTCTTATTATGTACACTACATAGAAAGACATAGGTTGTGGAGTAATAGTGGAGTAAAATTCTTTTACTGCTGTACATAGAAATGTATTGTAAAACTCTGTATTTCTCTGTGTATCCAGGTTGACAACTGACATGCGTTTCGCTCCATTTTCCTGCCTGGAGAGGGGCTCCTGGATTCAGGGCAGCCAGGACAAAGACCTCTCCCTGATGCTGCATGAGAGTCTGCAGCCCGCCCTGTGCCTCCACAAATATCCCCGCTCTCAGATCGAGGTCAACGTGATGGTTCTCGAGAACAGCGGTTCAGTTCTGGCCCACGCAGTCACTTGCGCTTCTCTCGCTCTCGCAGATGCAGGGATCGAAATGTATGATCTGGTGCTTGGTTGTTCCATACGCCAGGATGGTGCCTCTTATGTAGTCGACCCTTCTTACATGGAGGAAAACAGCTGCAGCTCAGTCAGCGGTGAGAACCAGGGCCGTCTGACTGTTGCATTCCTCCCCAGCCTGAACCAGATATCTGGGCTGCAGTCAGATGGAGAAATGACTGAAGAGACTCTGACCGCCGGGATTCGGACCTGCATTGAGGGATGCTATAAACTGTACCCGGTCATCCAACAAGCCCTGGCCAAGGCTGTGCGCAGGGCGGCACCGCCACCATCAGAGAGCTGAGAGACTCATGAACCAACAACTGCTCAGTTCATAGTTTTTCTACTTTACAGTTTTTAGTCCTTAATTTGACAACAATGCCCATGTCTGTATTTTTGCTATTTCATTGTCTTTACATATAAATGAATGCATCTGATTTCACCTGTGCTTTCATATTAAATCATTTAATAATGCACTTATATGGTCTTGTTTGCATTTGGGTCTTGAAACTTCAAATTTGGAAAGAGAATACAGGAAAGAGCACCATGTTAAGATTTCATTAGATTAATGAAATTGCTCATCCAGTTCCTGAATGTATTTTCATGAAACAATCTACTAAGTGCAAATTAACTAAATAAATACACTCTTTTGCAAACAGGCAGACCTCGTATAAACATCCCAGATGGATTTGGTCAACAAATTGTCTCCAGCTCAGTGGAGCTGTTGCTCTGTCATTAGCTCTGCTGGAGATTAGAGTTTAAAATGGGTTTAAACCTGTGTTTTTGGGAACAAAATTACAGGACCTTTGAGACCATACTGTGTCTTGAAACTGCAGTTTAAATATCACGTGGTCTTGTCTTAACTTAGGTGCTGTGTGCTGTAGGAACATGCTTTAGGCCACTAGAGGTCACCCTACCTAAGGTTTTAGTTGCAGAGGTTTAAGAGAGGGCCTGTTCATGGGTGGGTTCTAAAACAATGTGCCTCTGGGCACAGATACACAAAGGGCCCCACCACCTCTTTTTATGGTTTTGTGGTCATTTTGTGTCTCTTTGTAGTCTTTTGGGTCTATATGAGGTTATGTTATATCTTACTGCAGTAATTTTGTGTCTTTTTTTAGGAAATTTTATGTCTTTTTTTTTTTGTCATTTTGTGCCAACTTGAGGTTGTTTTATGTCTTTTGTAGTCATTTTGTGCTGTAGAAATAAGCTAAATGCCACTAGAGGTTACCCTACCAAAAGCCCTTTTTAAACAGGAATTGTGCAAATTTGCAGGAAAGCCCAATCAGTCTTTTTTCAGCATTGGCAGTATAAAAACAAAATTGGGGAGTGCGGCAAAATGCTGCCTACCTACTTTTGTTTATAGAGAATGCACCTTTTTCGGGGCAACGGTGGGCGTGAGCAAGTAACAAAACGTGTAGCTCAGCGTGTGATGTAAACAGTGACGTGGGAGGGAAGCCGCGGCTGGTCAGTCCTTTGGCGATTCTCTCATAAGTCGGCCCGTTCTTCACCATTCCCGTCATCTGACGGTTAATGGCCTCGTCATTCGCGAGGGCAAGGAGGGCGCGCAATTCCTTGTCTCCCCAGTTGCTCATGCCTACAGTGTCTGTCAGGTTTGCGTTTCCCTCTTGCTACTAGCTGCTCGCTAATTCCTGCTATCAGCCCCTACCGTTGCGGAAGGCCGCCTCGGTCTGTTTAAACTAAAAGGGTTCCGCCAATATGACTACCCTACGAGGCGGAAAATTGGGCACCTCGGATCAACTCGCCAAGCCAGCTCTGTGTGTCTAAACGCTCGCAGCTTGCCGGCAAAACGGCCCAACATTCATGGAAAATCTGGCAGTGTAAAAGGGGCTTAGGGTTTTAGTTAAACCTGTCATTGCAGAGGTGTCAGAGAAGGCCTGTTCATGGGCTTATTATAAGAAAATGTGCCCCTGGGCCCCACCATGTCTTTCATGGTTTTGTGTCTCTTTGCAGTCTTGGGTCTTTTGAGGTAACTTTGTGTCTCTTTAAGGTAATTTTATGTCATTTTTGGTCATTTTATGTGTCCTTGAGGTTGTTTTGTGTCTTTTTGTAGTCATTTTGTGTCTTCTGGCAAGGCAAGTTTATTTGTATAGCACAATTCAACACAAGGTAATTCAAAGTGCTTTACAGGGACATTAAAAGCAACAAGACACAATTTAGAACAATAAAAACAGTCGATTAAAAAGGGAAATAGAAATTGAGAATGATAGTGATAATAATAAAATACACTAACATAAAATAAAAACAGGCTCAATACATTGAACAGTCAGGATAAGAAAAGAAGTAGAATAATAAAAGGCATAAATCAGCAGTGTGTAGTTAAAAAGTACAGACAGTATGGAGGCAATTTTGTTTCACTTTGAGGTCATTTTATGTCATTTTTGGTTGTTTTGTGTCACTTTGTGGTCATCTGTGTCTCAATGTGGTTGTTGTGTGTCTCTTTGCAGTTCCTTTTCATCTCTTTGTGGTGAAATTTTGTAAGTGAGGGCAAAGGGGCCCCCTGACACTTTGCTACCCTGGGCCTGTGCCCGGCTGGCCCGTACAATAATCCCTCCGTTGGCCTGTGCTACTCTGTCCCCTATGCAAATTTGGAGCTCTAAAGGCTGCTCCAAGCACTATGAAACAAAGATAACATTCAAAAAATACCCTAAATTGAGGCATCCTAGTGCTGTGGGGATGGCATAGAGTTTGGCTGGGGACCTTTTTGCTGCAACACCGCACTGCCTCTCCCGATCATTTCTGCCCAGCGTCTGTTTTATAGCCCAGTGTGCTCTCCCTGGATGCCGACAGTGCTGGAATTACACATCGGAGATGTTAGCATTGGACAAAATCCTGGGTTCACAGAAATGTTCAATATTGACATTTTCTTCTTGACTGTGGGCTGAGGAAATCCACTGTGGGTGTGTATTAAGTGACAAATGAGCTTACATGACCGCACACACAGCAGAAAAATGTCACACCAATAACTAAGTGATCTTTCAAGAATATAAGTATCCGAGTATCCAAAATACAGTTCATGGTGTTTTGCACTGATTGAAATTTGAAAAAAGGTTGGTAGTTAAGCATGTGATCTAGTAACGGTCTTAAGAGTTGAAAGACTTCTAGAGGGACCATGTCTTGACATTTTGGTGCTCCATTTGAGAAGTCCGTAATTTTTTCATTAGAATATTTGGGACATTCATAGTTATTCTATGCTTTATTCTTTGAAGAAAAGATCAGGACAGCACTACAATTTAAAATTTTAATATGATGGATGTTTTGGTCAAGACACCCAATACCACAAACATTGTGCACAGGTAGGGTTAATTATGGGTGACCACAAACAACACAAGTATATCCTCGTAGTGTTTTGGATTAGAGCACTAAAAAATGAAATGACACAAATATGTTCACTTCAATAAAAACACAAATATACTCACTTCATAAAAAAAATGATATTCACTTCATTAAAAACAATCAAATTAAATCTCGTTATTCCTCCTGTTGGGGATGAGGATATCAAGGAAATGAATCCAATATGCCTCCCTTTGGAAAAAGATTCTGTCCCTATTACCACCTCTCTGTGGCGTCCTCACTGTGCCTCACTGCCAGTGTAATGAAGTTTATTCAAGCTGTGGTTCTGGCTGTTAAAGTTGCAAAGCCACAGATGATTTATCATTGTGATTACAAATGGAAAACTTGCGTTCACAGATCCTGGTTTCTAATTCTCATTTTGTTTACCCAAAATAATAGCAAGATGGGTATAATAACAAGATACATGGACATTTTAACAGGTAAAACATACATTTTACATGTGATTCTGCCTCTAACTTTGATATCAATGTCAGACATAGGATGAGTAAAATGATTACATTTGATAATAGAATAACAGTTTATGAATTTATGACCAGGAAATATGAGACAAATATGAATATGAGATGACCTCATGGGCACATATGTGAGACGTCCTCTTGGGCAAATCTGACTTCACTAAGTAATCATGCAAGTTGGAAGACCTCTTATAAAAATTTTCAAGCAGAGTTTGAAATGAACTTGAAATTTGAGGGTCACTTTTCAAAATGTGCTAATATGTACCCACTATTCCTTTTACTGACTCAGATATAGGGCTATAAGTTGATACAAATGCAAGACCCTGTATGGAAGTGTCTCTAGAGCTAGGTTTTAGTAAATCAGACCGCTAAACTTGGCTGAGTTTATTGAGATGATTGTCCAATAATTCATTTCCATATCCCCTCTCTTTAAAGCTGTTAGAAAGTACTTGCTTTGTGAAGTTACAAATTTGTCTAACCGTTAGTAGCTGACTATACAATAGACTTCTTTTTAGTGCTGGTGCATGATGACTGCTGAATTGTAGAAAAGTTCCCTCTTTTTTTCACCAAAACATCCAAAAAAGAAACTTTCCAGATCATTACACGATATGAACTTGATGGATTCTTTTCTGTCATTTATGAAAGCATGGCACTCTAATAAGTCCTGAGCATTAGCACTCTTATATTTATACTTTATTCTTTTAAATGAAATTTTGTTCAAATTCACTCTCCAACAGCACTGGGACAGTTGCTAGTACGCACCAGCTTTAAACACTGGAGTGGCTATTTATAGCACCAGTAACCTTGAATTCATCACATGTACCTGTGAACCATCATTGGCTATGATATTTACATCACCATTAATAAACATCAGAAGAATGATCAATGATTGATTTGTAGCACTCATATTGCACCAGACTTGCTTCACAATTCAGGGTAAATTTCATCACATAATCATCACATAAATATCATTTTAAAATAGGTTTATAAATGTCTCTGTTTTCTTTTTCATATCATACTATGTACACTTACTACACTACCCATACATTATAACATCATAATATAATATCCTGCTTCAGCAGATTAGCTTGACTGAACATGAAAACATTGCATACACAATACTTAAAGAAGTCATCTTAGTTAAACAGAGACTGAATGTATTAAACATTATAAAATATTTTTAAATTGACATTAGAACAGTCATGGTTGTTTAAATAAATAAGCAGCATTAGCTGCTGCTGGAGCTTCCTCTGCCTCTGTAGCCTCAGCTAGACTGAAAATGCTGCTGCACATATTTGCAATTATTTTAAGAGTTTGGGAGTTTTATTTATTTGTTATTCATTAATCATTGTTTTTTTTTGTTTGGCTTTTTTTGTTTTGATTTGTTTTCTTCAACTCAGTAAAAATCTAATGAAATAGATGAGTTTCATTTTTAAAGGCACTTGACATGTTTGGATTCCTTTTTGATTTGACTAAACTGTGGAAGAAATGGACAATACAGATCTACAGAATCACTAACAGATCTAAGACCTGAAAGGACTTGATATTAGGGATAGACCGATATGGATTTTTTAGGGCCGATGCCGATACCGATTTTTTTCCATCACCCTTAGCCGATGACCGATTATGGATTGCCGATTTTCT